CTCAAAAACTGTGCCCAAAGCCTTGCATACCCACTTAGTGTTCTATTTAACCTGTCTTTCTCGAGCGGATGCATACCCCCTGATTGGAAGCTGGCACTTGTAGTACCAGTGCACAAAAAGGGCGATAAGTCTTCGGTTGAGAACTACAGGCCTATCTCGTTAACATCTCTTGTAATGAAAGTCTTTGAAAGGTGCATAAAGACTGCATTATACGCTGCATGTTCTGATCTGTTGGATGACCGACAACACGGTTTTGTTAATGAACGTTCATGCACAACCCAAATGATACCTTTCACGGACAATCTTGCACTTGCACTGAATAACAGGTCCAGGACTGATATAATATATTTTGATTTTGCGAAAGCTTTTGATAGCGTTTCGCATGACCTTATTTTAAGTAAATTAAAGAATATTTTTAATGTCGATGGACTAATGCTTAAATTTATTAAGTCCTATCTTGAGGGGCGACAACAACAAGTAGTGATAGGAGGCCAAACGTCTTCTACTCTACCAGTTCGGTCTGGTGTCCCTCAAGGTTCTATACTTGGCCCTTTATTGTTTGTAATATTTATAAATGACATGTTCTCCTGTGTCTCTGAAGGCACCAATATCGCCCTTTATGCAGATGACACTAAAATTTGGAGGGAGATTCTTGGTTACCCTGACCATCACATAATCCAAAATGACATCAATAGATTATATGATTGGTCAGTGAGAAATCGAATGAAGTTCCACCCACAAAAGTGCAAAGCCCTCTCTGTGTCCCTGCAAAGAAACGTGCTGGATAACTTGCCATTCAATACCTTCTTTTATAAACTTTCTGGAAGTGATATTGACTTTGTGCCCTCTCAGTCAGATTTAGGAGTCGCAATAAACTCCAGGTTTAATTGGGGTGCACAATGTAAAGCGCTTGTTTCCAAAGCTACCTCTAGACTTGGACTACTTAAGAGAACATGTCATTTCACTACTGATAAAAGGCAGAAAAGATCGTTCTATTTAGCGCTAATTAGGTCTATATTTGAACATTGTTCTGTCATATGGTCCCCTCAATCTGCAACTCATCTTCAACAGTTTGTTGCTATCCAAAAGAGGGCTATTAAATGGATCAATGGTGAACCTTACTCCAGTTATAATGACGATAAACTTGCTACAGAGCAAAAGAAACTAAATATTCTCCCTGTTAAACAGAAGTTTATTTATAACGATCTTATGACCTTCTATAAAATAGTGAATAGCATAATTCCAGTTTCGCTCCCTACATATATAGTTCTTTGCCGTCCAGAGGGCACCCGATACACTAGGCACAATGCTCAAATAATTGATATGTCGGATACTTCAACTTACATGAGTACCACTGTGCCCTGCTCGGATGCCTTCCGAAATAGCTTTTTTCATAGATCTATGCTGAAATGGAATAGTCTACCAGTATGTATCCGGCAGTCAGAGCGGATTTCTACTTTTAAGGCCAAACTGATCAAGTACCTCTGGGCTGCCGATACAGTCTGGCCAGATTAGTTCATCAGTCTTATGAGAATCAGAAATTTGTTTTTGTTGGTTACAATTCTGTCCGTCCAATTTCCTATCTGCTTGTCCTTTCTTTTTTCTTTATCAGTTGTGACGGAATTGTAATGAACAAAATCCTTATAATTATTTATGATATGTTTGATTTCTTGTTAATGTTTGTCATTCAAATTTGGTAGACGGCCCCAACGTTAATGTGGCTCTTGCTATGTGTTGGTTCAGCCGAATTAATTATTATATAATCAAGTTTATTTTTCTCGTTATTTGTCATCCGGCCAAACATTAAGCAACTTATATTGCAGTACCATTTATCATTTAGTATATCAAAATATGTCATTGTAATTTTGCATGGCTGAAATGTAACGCTTGATTTATATAATATATAATGATTAATTGAATTTTCAAATAAAAAGAGGAAAAAACTCACTACTTTCCTACTATGCATCGATTTTAGCAAAGCATTTGATAGTGTATGGGTGAAAGGCCTGATTTTCAAGCTCAGCAAATACCAAATACAAGGGAACATTTTGCGGATAATAAATAACTTCCTGTTATCCCGCAAAGTACGGCTGAGGGTTAACAACAGTCTCGGATTTCAACGCTCATGTGGATGGTTTGGGCTTCCCCAAGGCCCTGTCCTTGCACCCCTGCTATTTATCCTCTACATCTCGGATATGTTATGCAAGGACCAGCTCCCACTGGAATGCAGCTCTAACTCAAGCCTCTTCAAATATGCTGATGATGGAAGCATAGCAGTCTCTCACATAGATCCTATATGTGCTCATCGAATTATGCAGTTGATGTGCAAGTACCTTCATGTCTGGTGCAGTAAGTGGAAACTTATCCCAAACTGCGACAAAAACAAGACCGAGTGTATTATGATCACACCAACATCCTCATCTGCACCTGATGTCACAGCCTTTGGACCACTTATTATCGGCAATAGACCCATAACATATACATGTCAATCAACTGTTCTTGGACTGAGGATAGACGACAAACTTACCTTCAAGAGTCACGCAAAATTTAAATTGAAACAATGCTGGTTTGCCTGGTACAGGATCACTCAAAACTCCACCCGCCACAGAGGCCTGAATGCAAGCTCACTCAAAATGCTCTTCAAAACAGTAGTACTCACAAAACTTCTATATGCTGCTCCAATATGGCTAAAAGATAACCTAGACACTTTCAAAGACTTCTATGCCAGGGTCCTCTTGAAAATAAGTGGATCCACTCACCATCCTCCCAAAGATTTGACATCTGTCGCGCTTGGAATTCCACCCCTTGAGATATCCTACAAGATGATCACCATAAAACTCATAATAAAAGCACTTACAAGTGACCCATTTATGCAAGGACTCATCTTACAGCTAGAGGAGGCAAAGGCCCATCGATATCAGCACCATATTGATGAGATACGTAAGTTCCTAACGTGGACAAGGGGGTCCAACGAGCTCAACAGAAGCAGAATAGACCTTCTGACTAGTGTCCACAACAGTGTTGTCAGCTACTCAAAAGACGAAATAACCCGCTTTATGGACTTCACGTGGAATAAACATCTCCTACTGAACCCTAGAATTAATCCGGGTGAGATACTGGATAAACATCGATAAGAGGAGCAAAAAGTTGTTTCCTCGCTATTCAAGCAGGAGCACAGACACTAAAGTAATGTCTCTCTTGCATGGCCATGACATCACCTTCACAGCATTCAAGGCAAGGGTTGCCAACAACTGCGACCCTCAGTGTCCGAATTGTCAGATGTTGGACAACAATTACCATCGAATCTTCTCTTGTCCACTGTACCGCTGTTCCTACAGAGAAACCATTCAAGAGCACTCCACTAGTGAACAACCATGCTGGTCTATCTTAAGAGATGGTAGTGATGGCAGCATCACTGCCTTCCGATCTTTAGCACAGATCGCCATCGGTGAACTATCATAGAATTGATACTTATACTTATAGTGCTCCTTCACCTCCATCCCCCTTCATGTCCTACATCTCCTTATGACATCACTCCCCCTTCAGCCTCTACTACTCCTTTACTACTCCATCTACTGCCTCATCTTCTGGACATCATTATCTTCTAGGTTAGTTGAGAATTCTCAACACCCACTTCCAAGTCGAGTACTCTCGACCCACTTAGTCCACATACCTTGCAAACTTACAGCAGGGTATTTGTAATGGTCTAAGTCCCTAATACACGCCAAAGATGGTTCCTCTATACTCAACCGTAGGAGAAGAAAATTAGGTGACTGTATTTTGTTCTAATGTTGATATTAATATAAGTATGTTCTAGTTGTTACTCCTTTTGTTTTAACGTTTTTATGGTACCCTCCTTAAATTATTTCAATGCAGTCACTCAGATGATTTTTAAATCAGGACACTTAAATAAAGACACATACTCTGCCCACAATAAGGGGCCATAATTTTAAATTATGTAACAGTATAGAATTATTATTATTAAACAACAAACAAATGCTTGCTCACCAGTGGTGACGCAATCGTAGGGGCATGCAGTTGGTTCAGATAACTCTCACCCCGACGACGGCGTCTAGAAATTATCAAATTATGCATTTGCTGGACACATTTTATATTTAATATTTCATGTGGTTTGTAGAAATTAGTTGAAAACCATTCCTGTCTTATTACTCCTACTTTTTTGTTTGCCCTCAATGCTTGATTAAATGGTCATGGGTCAGTTTTCACTCATGGAGTAACGTGCACTAGTGGGACAACAATTGGCCAACGCCACTGGAATGATAGTTTAAATTATAGTGAGAAAACTGATAAATACTGACTCACGGATGGAACTCACACGTCAAATTCATCATTGATAGGGCCATGATTAAGAATTGATGATTAAAATATGTCTCGCCTACACTATGCATGTTTACTGTTATTGATTAGCGGTTCTCATTCCGTCCTGATTTCACATGGCGACGCGACCTTGCACATTTGGCTTAGCTTTGTTACGTCACTACCAGGACCCTTCATTATTGCTACGATCCAGTAGTTTACAATTTTGTATTGTAAACTAGATTGTAAAATATTTATGTGCTTAATTGTGTTCTTAAGATTGAATATGATATAACAAAAACTCCTTGTTATGATGCCTAATTTGCGTTTGACTAGCTGCAACTCTAAAATTTAATTTATTATCACAGGTTTGTGAAAGATTAATCATTAACATCTAATATAAGGATTTTGCTTCTTTTCACTATAATTTTAAGACAATCATACTTTTTAAAGAAGTATTTTGTGGAAAAACTCTCTGAACTGATCAAATACCAAAGATTTAAAGGTATTGTATCTTTAATTTCGTTCATTATATATATAAGAGCACTAGTACAAATTATACTACACGAATGAGTGCACCAAGGTATCAATTTAACAGTATTTGGAACAGTGGTTGGCATTTTTGCCCTCTTGCTTTGTGTGCAATTATAGTAATACTCATTGTCTTGCATTGAACTACTAATATTTATAGCTATTTCGAGCTAAGATGTCAAAAAGGTTAGCAACTGCGGCTCGCCCAATGTCCAAAGGGGGAAGATTAGGGACAACTCTTCAAAGGCCTCCTACAGGTAAGAACCCTTTTCTTTACAGGTGTGTAGTGATTGTTGCAGTTGTGCCTTGAAAATGAAACCCGGAAGGAACTTTAGGTTTATCAGTCTGTCTTATTGCATCACACATCATGCAGAACCTAGGGTTTGTACGACTATTTTTTTAATGATCTGACAAAGAGATCCTTCAGGGGCAAGGCTGGGAACAGCACGGCCTGGAACAAAGTCTGGTGTTGCTGCTGGTACAGGAGCTCTCTCCAGTTCAGTTCAAGTCGCAGATAGGCCGATGACACAACAGGTGAAAGTCAAAACTTGCAAAGGAAAAATCTAGAGATTATTGTAAATGAGAAGGAGATGGAAATCATAAATGATATACAACTTAAACTTTTTTGACTGGTTCAAATGCTTTAAAGGCCTTTAAATCAGCATGAAAAAATAAAAAATTGGCCAAAGAATAAGAATTTTAGTGCCCCAATTGGTGTCAAAAACGCGAATTAAATAGATAATAATTATTTTAGTCTCTTGAGTCTTGACACCACTATAGGGTTAGACAGGTTCCTGCTAGTTATTGTAAATGAGAAGGAGACGGAAACTGATTTTGACGATTAAAAATACTGCTAATTAGTGACTGTCATAGATGTAATCAGTCAAATTTTGCTCAGTGAGTCTCTTTCTTTTAAGGTTTTGACAATGAATTGACCATAATAATATAGCTTATGATCTAGAAAGTGTAAATTACACTACTTTCAGGGCTTATCGGGAGTAAAGACTGGAGCATTGGGTCCACAGCGTCAGGTTCTGGATGCCAGCTACTATTCTGGAATACTAAGATCGAAGATCAAAGAATTGCAGGATGAAATAAATGTTATGGAAAAGGAAAGTGGAGCTCTAAATGCAGAGAATGCCACTTATTTAACATTCGAGAGAAGAGCAGAGACACTGGCTCAGCAACTCAAAGAACGCCAGGTGAGATGAAGATCGAGCAATTAATACTTATTGAACTTTCTTTTCAACCGTATTTGTTTTGCAATTTTTGTGCTGGATCACGAACTTTGAAATGTTTTCAGTAAACTTGTGTTGGCCTCATTTCTCACTACTTCGCAATATGTCAAATTAAAGATTTACATGAGTTTGAAAGACTATTTTTAACTAGGGCGAACTAGCAGACTACAACCTGCTCATAGACAAGATCAACACAAACACTGATGTTGAAGAGATTGCAGAAGACTGCAAGGAATTGCAAGGACAAAACAACAGAGACAGCAAAGGTGTTGAAATACTCTTCGGTGAGAAGAGGGAGAAGGAAAATCAAGTTTCTCAGGTTTGTTCAAAATTTTGTCCGTAATATTAATACTTTTGACTCATGGGCGATTTGCTTCGTCGGGGGGGGGGGGGGGGGGCCAATGGCAAAAATGGAGAATTACTCATAGGTTTTTCCATTTTCTCCATAGAAATAGTCTCCATTTTATGCCATTTTATGCCATTTTATGCCATTGAAAACCTGAAAAATTTAGAATTTCGAGAAAAATTATTAAAAAAAAGATATTTTCGGCCAATAATGAACAGAGTATCATGAAACATGGAGAAAAGTGGTTTTCAGAAAAACTTTGAAAAATGTTGATTTAGAATATGTTCGGTCCGAGTCATTTACGATACGTACCTCCCGTATCGAGTGCTCCCGATTCCCAGCTCGTGTTGCAAAGGGGAGGCCTGCCTTCCGAGATCGCATTACCTCGAGTCCAAAATTGTGTATCGAGGGGAAGGTGTGGACTTCGAAAAACCGAAAAAATATTTGCGGCAAATAATGAACAGAGTAGCATAAAACACGTGGAGAAAAGCGGTTTTCAGAAAAAATTTGAAAAATTTTGACCGAAAAAATATTTTCGGCTTAAAATGAACAAGGTACCATGCTCTTTTGCACAGGGAGATCCAAAAGAGCGAGTAACCCAGTACAGCGCCAACAGAAAATTGTTCTCCTCTGTGACTCGACCATGCGAAGCTTTAAACCTGACGAGTTTCCAAAGAGGTACAATGTCTCTGTAATATACAGGCCAAGTTTGAAAGAACTTGACTCGTGCCTCGAACGAACAGTAGAAGAGATCTCAAACCTCAATCCAGATGCAGTGTACATTCACCTTGGTACTCGGGACATCCTGGAAGGCAACAAGGCTGATATTGTGGTGGGATCATTAATCAAGTCTACTGAAAAGATCCTTAGACAGACCTCACAACACTGCCAAATATTCATCTCTCACCCCTTTCTGCGCGACCATCCTGGAGAGGAATGGGGTAAAAATAGTCGACTCATCACAGAGGCAATCAGAAATCTTAAAGATGACAGTGAAAAGGCTGATTTCTGGATGAGATCAAGAGAAAACAGAAACAACAACTTCTACCCGGGGGGATCGGATATCCCACACGACTATCTGTTTGTCCCAGATCAACCTCATCTAAATGACAGAGGTATCAGAGTAATCATGGGAAACTTCAAGACAAGTCTCAATAGTACATTTAGCAGGGACCGTACTTGAATTCTAGTCTCTCATTCTCAGCTCCTCCAAGTCTTCCGAGTTCTCTTCTTCTTTCCTCCTCTCCTCTTGCCTCTCTCATCTTCTATACCTGACTGATGAACATCGTCAACGGTATAATTTCCTGGAATGTTGCAAACATTCATGGCTTGCTCGGAAACAAAGTTGAGGATCCCGAATTTGTCAAAATCATCAGTCCAAATGATATAATCTGCCTCCAAGAAACCGGATGCGAAGTTTCCCTGAAAGGATACAAATCCTATAGTGACATCCGCAAATCAGGTAAAGGAGGAGGAGTAACCACTTTGGTTAGGAACACAATTGTGGAATATTTCTCTCTGGATAAATGCACACTCACTGCGGACCATACAATGAATATTGTCATTGTTAAAATCACTGATCCCGACAGCAATCTCAACACCTTTGTTGTCAATAGCTACATCCCACCTACAAATAGCAAACAGAAAAACCGCACTAACTGCTCCGAGGCAAACTTTGATGCCCTTCAGGAAAAAATAGCCAGCATCAAGAATAACCCCAGTGATGAGCTATTACTTCTTGGTGACCTTAATGTCAGGATAGGAGTAGCTCCAGATTTTCATATGTATGACAGAGCGGACGAATTCGAGCTCTTTCCAGAAACTGGCAGGTCTTCCGACTTCATGGTTATACCTGACGTGGCACCTATATCTCAAAATAGGAACAGCCAGGACAAAATTACCAATAGACACAAAAACCTTTTGCTTGACCTCTGTGGATCACAAAACCTCCTGATCCTTAATGGACGTACCATCGGTGACTCTGCTGGAAAATACACATGCTACAAGTGGAACGGAAACAGCGTAGTGGACTACTTCATTGCATCAACATCCTTTCTTCACCGTGTCAAGAGCCTCTCAGTGGGTGAGCACACTCTGTTCTCCGATCACAATCCAATCTTACTCAGCCTTTGGCATAGACGAAGGGCCCCTCAAAGGAATAGTCAAGCTCCCACCAGTATCTACGAGGAAGCTCCCTTTCGATACAAGATCACAGAAGAGGGTTTAGCCAACTTCACAAAATCATTTGAACAGCCTGAGTTCATTCAAAGAATCTCCCAACTGACCAAAGATGTCGAATCCACTCCAAAAACCCATGAGGCAGTTGAAGCACTGAATAGGCAGATTACAGAACTCATAAACGATGTCGCTAAAAAAGAGTTCGATATCTCTAAACAAACTAAGAATCCAAAACCTAAGTTCGCCTCATGGTTTGACGGTAAGTGTCACACTGCACGACGCCTTTTCAAACGGTCAATAAAAATTGTCGACAATAATCCTGATAACCAGAGAATCAAAACACGGCATCGTGCCAACTCTAAAGGGTACCGAAAGATTGTCAATAAGAAAAGGGATGACTTCTTCAATAGTCTTAACAAGAAGATTAAAAACGGTAAAACTATATCCTGGAGAGATTTCAAGAAGCTTAAGAACTACAAGAAGGAAGAAGTCCAAACTGAAACGGAGCAACTCAACTCTTTCCATCAGTTCTACTCTGAGCTATATTCTGACAATCATCCAACCGTAGACACTCTCACTAAAAGAGCTCTCCTCGAAGAAGCCAACGCCCTATCCGAGGGATCTGCCCCTAATGAGTCACTGAACAGCCCATTTACATCGGATGAGCTGAACGCTGCGCTAGGCGAACTCAAATCGGGCAAAGCATCTTCTTTTGACCACATCAGCAATGAAATGCTCCGGGGTCTGAGCATGAATATGAAGTCGCTCCTCCTCAAACTCTTCAATTTGTGCCTGGAGACAGGAGTCTACCTCTGGAGCAAAAGTGTGATCACACCAATTCACAAAAAAGGGTGCATCAGGAACCCTGACAACTATAGAGCAATAGCAGTCTGTAGCTGTATCGGAAAACTGCTCTCTACGATGCTGCTATCTCGGCTCGTTAATCACCGCCAAATCTCACATCCTGATCCACCCAACCAAGCAGGCTTTACCAAAGGAAGTCAATGCAATGACCATATATTTACGCTGATGTCCACCATAGAAAAATACAAGAAAGTCAAAAGTAAAATATATGCAGTGTTCATTGATCTTCGCAAAGCTTTCGATCTAGTCTGCAGACAAGCTCTCATGTTCAAACTAGCCTGCTATGGTGTCAATGGTGGCTACTACGACATCATCAAAGACATGTACAGCAAATCAGAGGGTCATATCAAGATGAATGGTAAAATAAGTGAAGCATTCAAGATCCTTAAAGGAACTGAACAAGGACACCCACTTAGCCCAGAGTTTTTCAAAGTTTACTTTAAAAAGCTTTCTGACCTCCTTAACGAAGCTACTGCGAACTGTCCGACACTCGCTGGACTTTCAGTGACTCACCTAGCGTGGGCTGATGATCTAGTAATCCTCGGCCTAGATCCTGAGTCTCTCCAAAAGTTGCTTACGATTATTGGGGACTACTGTAACGAATGGGGTCTGGAAATCAATATCTCCAAAACCAAATTCATGGTCTTCAATGGCAAAGGACCAGACATTCCAAATTGGCGTCCTTCCATTCACGAAAGAGATATCGAGATGGTCTCCAGCTACTGCTATCTTGGGATTATTATAAGCATCACAGGGAAATTTCGGCAAGCAACTGACTCTCTATACCGTAAAGGACTTGGAGCTTACTTCAGCTTGAGAAGCACTATAGACCGGAGATTCGTTGATGCATCCTGCCTTAACAAATTATTTAACACCCTTGTTAAGCCAATTCTACTTTACGGCTGTCAAGTTTGGGCCCCGGTTCTACCCACCGTCAATAAGGTCCTCTCTAGCTTCAGCAAGTTTCACAATCTTCATCATGCGGTCTCTCACATCGCTAAACAGCAACTTGAGCAAGTGCATCTACGACACCTAAAATACCTTCTTGGTATAAACAGAAGGGCAGTCAATGCTACAGCCTGGGGAGAAACTGGCTCATACCCAATCATTATTGAAATGTTGAAACTGAGTACTAAATATTTCAAAAGAGTTATGAGCCTCCCCTCTACACAACTAGTCAAAGCTGCAATGACTGAGCAGATTAACCTCAAATTGTCATGGTTTGTAGGCATCGAATCAATCATCAAATCATTCAACAACATCGACCTTCTTGAAAGGAATTCATCGTCGCTGTTGAACGCAACCTCACTTGCAGACTCCTGCAGCCCTGATTTGATCACAGAGAACCTGAAAAAAAAGTTCCGCGATTCCTGGGGTTCTCTTGTGAAAGATTCTAGAAAGCTATCATTCTACAGTGAAGTCAAAACAGAATTTGCATGAGAGCCATATCTAACCTATGCTAGGTCTTTTCAGGACAGAAGGGCAACCACACAGATTCGGTCCAGTTCGCATCACCTTAGAATTGAAAGGGGGAGATATGACCAAACTCCAATTGATGAAAGGACCTGCAACTATTGCGAGCTTAACAACAACCAGCTATTCATCGAGGACGAGAATCATATGCTCCATTTCTGCCCCCTAGGGAAGGGTCCTAGGGACAAATTTCAAAATCTCAGTGGAAACCTACTCAACAATGTTGGTAATGGTAGCTTCAATCTTGCCTCCACGTTCATGTCGCAGTCTGATTGCAAGGATACTCCCAGTGATGAGGACGTAAGTTTGATCAAACTCTCAACCAGCACCATTAACAAGATCTACAGACTAACCCTCAACTTCAAAGACAGTCTGAAAGCAGATAATTAGTTTCCTTTCTCAGTTTTCTTTTTTTGTATTATTTTTTCTTTTTTCCTCTCCTCCCTTTTCTCCTCCCAACTTTGAATCTGTGATGGATGTGATGGAAGGCTTGCGTTCACTTTTATCCCTACATGGGCTCCCGGCCGTGCGTCCATGTAGGAGCTGTGGGGCCTTCCGAGTGATAGGGTTACAGTGACTGCTAGTAGAGAAAATATGAAGGTTCCACCAGTAGACATACAGGGTGAGTTGAAAATAGTGTGTGGAAAGTAAAAATCGATAATTTTTTTTATGAAGGAGCAAATTTTGAAAGGTGAATTGCTATCAGTTCATAAACTTTACATATTTCATTCTTGCCTCTCATTTGATTCTAAATCATAATTTGGTTGATTTTTGGCAGTTTTCCAAAAAATCTTAAATTCGTCCTAATGGTGTTCTCAAATCGTGTGCCCTGAAAATCGAGTCTAAAAATCTATATTCTCCTACATTTTTTAAGCAATCACCCTGAAACTTTCAGGATATAAAAAACGAGGTCCAAGATTTTCAAAATCAAATAAAAATTTTTTAAAGGCCTATCTCAAAATTCTGTCTGGCTCATCTCTTCTAAATGATCCTTAGAACATATACTGAAAGTTTCAGGGTGATTGCTCAAAAAATGTAGGAGAAAATAGATTTTTAGACTCGATTTTCAGGGCACGCGATCAAAAATCGCTCGCGCAATACAATTACCACACACGCGCTGACCTTTGACCGGCAATAATTTCGGCTAGGAACGATATTTTTCCACGGCATCAAAAGCATCTGATAGATATTACTCCCCTCTATCAGAAACAACTAACTAAAAAGTCGATTTTGAGACAATTTCCATGAAGACCCCCCTGCCCCCATAATACAGTCAAGTCGGCCAAAGACAATTGTCTTACACGTTATCAATATGTCCTAGCTAATAAAGGACGATGGGTTATGCAAATTATTAATTATTAAGTATTTTAATTGTATTATTATAAAAAGTATATATTTTCATTACCTAAATATGCAAAAATAAAGTGGAAATTTCATTTGTCAAAAAAATTTGAGCCATTTACTTTCCACACACTATTTTCAACTCACCCTGTAAGTATCGAAAGCAGGGCATTGGCTCGACCTCCGAGGCGGGGTATCCGCGAGGACCCTGGTCGTAATCAGCTCTGCACTGTTTCAGTGTATCCTGATGCCTGAAATCTCGGACACTGCCTACGTACGGGGTAGACAGCCACGGATGATTTTGTCTGTGAGGTTTTCATCACTTCCTGACATGAGCCAGACCTCAGCTGGATCCTTCCTTTTCCTTTTTCTTCACTTCCCGTTCAGTCTACCTCTTCATCATCAGTTTGAGTTGCTTCGCCTTGCATTCGAACTTAGCCTCCACAGTTCACCACGGCACCTCTTTTGGATGCCTCCTGCCGGGCAACACTAGCTCTCAGACACTGGCTAACTTACCGCGCACGGTTTAGTTTCTGTGTCTTTTCTGTGGCCGTGTATTCCGTTTTATGCCACCCTCTCTGCCGTTCTCGCGCTTGCGCTCACCCACTCCTCAGTGGGCTGTTCATTTGACAGAGTTACTGGCTGGCACTCCCATCATCTTCTCACTCACCATCACTGCCCAATCAAATTTATGCAATCAAAATCACTATACACCCATAATCATATGATCAAAACACGTAAAGCTTTGAAATATACTTTTCTCTGTTTGAGATTTGAATAACGTTACTGTAATGTTCCAAATTATATTTTAAATGTTCAAAAAATGAAACGTGGAGAAAAGTGTTTTTACGAAAAACTTTGAAAAATGTTGACTTAGAAATTACCCCTCGGTACACAATTTTGGACTCGAGGCTTCCCCCTGGTAATGCGATCTCGGAAGGCAGGCCTCCTCTTTGCAACACGAGCTCGGAATCGGGAGCTCTCGATACGAGAGGTACGTATCGACATATCGAGAATGACTCGGGCCGAAAATTTTCTAAGTCAAAATTTTTCAAAGTTTTTCTAAAAACCACTTTTCTCCACGTTTCATGCTACCCTCTTCATTATAAGCCGAAAATATTTTTTTGGTTTTTCGGTTTATCGAAGTCTGCACCTACCCCTCGATACACAAATTTGGACTCGATGCTTCCCCCTGGTAATGCGATCTCGGAAGGCAGGCCTCCCCTTTGCAGTGCGAGCTTGTTTCGACTGTCGAGGATGTAGGTCTCACTACTCAGTGCCTATTACTCTCCCCTATTACTCACTCCTGCTGTAGCCTGTAGAAATAACTTTACGCTAGGCTTCAGTAATTATGAGTTTGCCTGAAGTGTGCCTCTACTAATCTAGTATAAGCATCTAGTAGCCTACTATGAGCTTTCATAAGCTTGTTATATGTCCAATGTTAGGATGTCCAATTTAGGTGTTAAATGGTGTTAAAGATGAAATTTCGAAGACAAAATTCATGGCATAAAATGGAGAAAATGGAGAATTACTCATGGGTTTTTCCATTTTCTCCATAGAAAAAGTCTCCATTTTATGCCATTTTATGCCATTTTATGCCATTGGCCCCCCCCCCGCTTCGTCTATTTATGTAAACGCAATTCGTGTTAGTGAATAAACTGTTACAACAATACCTACCATTGATCACTGTGAAAAACGGTGATTGACAATAAAATACCTCAGTTGGAAGCAGAAATCAGGAAACAGAGGGAAGCTACAAACCAGTTGCTACAAGGGCTAGACTACGATAGTCAAGCTAAGTACATGCAAATGAAGGAGGCTAACTTTGAGTTGCAGCAGAAAGCTGAACAGCTGCAGAGCCAGGTGAATACCAGGTTTAAATGTGTCAACAATTTAAATCACGGGGATGATTTTAATGTATATGTCAAGGAAGTTTCTAGATGTTTCACAAGACTAAAAGGTACTTTTTATTGTGCTTCAAAAGGTATCTCACTATTCTGAATAAGATTTATTCCACGATTCAGGAATTACAGTTATATAAATTCTCATGATATACTTCACAGGTAGACACGTTAGCCAGTAAAGAGGTTACGTTGCAAACGGAGCTAGAATCTAATCCTTTGAAGCAGAGAGCCTTTGAAGTAAACTGTAGGATTAATGACCTGGTCGATAAGAGGAGCGGTCTCAAAGAAGGTCCATTAATATTATTTAATGGGGAGTGGGAGGGGTTGGAAGGGGCTAATAAAGTTCGTATAAACATTTTAATAACCTTCAGGCAAAACATAAAACATGTCAATTAATTTTATAACTCTAAAGGTCACATTTGCTGTGAAAGTTGACAACTCTTATTCAACCATCAGAAATAGCAGAAGAAGCCCAGCTATCGCCCGAGGAAGAGAAAGCGAAACACCTGACACAAGTAAAGGAAGATAACAAGGAGATATCAGGGTTTGAGAGTAGGATCCGGGAGTTGAGGGGGAAGATGGAGCTGTGTCAGGAGGAAATAGTCAGATGTGAGGATAGCATCCAGGATCAAGACAGCGAACAGGTGATATACTTTGTTACTTGAAGTATTGTTACATGTCTCGTTAGTTGTTAAATAGTTATAAGTGGTCACAAAGCTGAAGTTTCACAGCTCAAATAGTAAATACCATCTAAGTTACAATGGCAGACATTTCTATAACGTTTTAAACCACTGCTGTTGAGATGAACACCACATTTTCTGTACTAATGTATGTACAATTTTACCAAAACCCATAATCATGGGTAGAGTGGACCGCTGCCAGTGTCTCTCTTTCCCAAACAAAAGGAAATGATATTAATTTGATTGACCGTTCTCAAATGCAAAATGATACCGAGAATGAAATCGGTCGCTCGCTTTTCCCATTCATTCACGGCTTACGAATTGTATAAATAAGTTTCGATTGATTACATCAATCAGATGCTGTAAAAATCTCTTTGGGTTGCGTTCGGGTCGATACCTAGTATTTCGGGGTAAGGGACAAGGGTGGTAGTTATTACTTATTGAATAAGCTTAAGTTTATTGAATCTTTATTGCCGAGTACAGCTGCCTTTGGGTAGTTCTTCTTAATCTATTACAATTGTAAATAAATGGGAAAAGCGAGCGACCGATTTCATTCTCGGTATCATTTTGCATTTGAGAACGGTCAATCAAATTAATATCATTTCCTTTTGTTTGGGAAAGAGAGACACTGGCAGCGGTCCACTCTACCCATGATTATGGGTTTTGGTAAAATATCATCTCTTTTTGATTATTATGTCAGGGTATTTTATAAAGTCGAAATATAAACTGATATCTTCATTAATAAGGAGGAAGTTTCAACGATTTCGAAATTTTTCCTTTAAAAACATTTCCTTGTCTTTAGGGAAGCATATCGGTCGATCACTGACTGAATATGCCACTTAGTACTCATTCAAGTTGGCATTAAATTCATATATAATGCCATTAAACTGTCGTGGCATTAAGCAGAATTTGTTGGAAATCACGAATGAGCAAAATTCTCACCTTTCGCACGTGAAAACTTTGAGCGGACATTGCGTGCACATCCAATATTGAATCGCCGTAAATTTTTGCATGTAATTGTTTTATATATAGCTTGATAAGCATGCAAAGTTTCAAAGTATTTCAAGAAGAACTGTAATCACAACGGCAATCTAAAGTTGACAGAAAATGACGAAAACAGCAATTTTCAGTGATTTTAGCAATTTTCTATCAATTTGGGCGTGTCCCCACGTGTGCAACTTTTCGATTTTTAACTTTAAAACTAGCCTAATGCACAATTTATACCTATAGGAAGCAGAACTGAGCTCCACAACCCAAGGCATGGCCCAACACCAGAGAATACTAAATCGCAAAATTGACGTTTTTATAAAATAATTCTTCAAAAAAGCACAAACTTCAATGACGAATATCTTTATGAAGGAGCAAGCTAAAAAAACTTTCCGGTAGATTTTCAGAATGCTTGAACAATTATCTAAGGTGTAAATTTCCTTAGATTTTGAATAAAGTTACTCCTTAATGGTTTAAAATTAATTTTAAAAGTTATTACTTTGTCAAAAATCAAGTTTTAAAAACGGTTAACTTGATGACGTCATCAAGGGGTGTTTATGACGTCAAATAATTTTTGTATACAATGTAAACTAAAGTGTAAACAATTATTTGCAAGACCTGTGGTCGGAAATGGCTGTATCTTTTATACTTTTGAATCTATGGACACTTAAATACAGGCTACAATTGACTGGCAAAGCGTCTATCCCTGAATATGTATATATGTATCACGACAATCTATCGTAAAACAGGGGTTCTAGAAAACCCATTTCCCGATGCTCCTGAAACCTGAAACTTTTTTTGCAGTCGATTTGGTCAACGTCTAGACGCCCTGAAAAATTTCAGATCTCTAACTCAATTTTAACATGGTTTTTAAGGCACCTGAATATGGCGATTTTGGGTTTTTTACCGAATTTCGTATAACAGTGCTGGCGAGTATTTTATGCAAATTTCTTAAAAATCTCAACATAACTATTTTTTATTCCTGTCATCTTTGACATCAAATTAGAATGTTTTGAACTAAAAATAAATCTGCTGAACGACTTCCGATGAGTCTTAATGCCTGGAAAACTCCTGCCGGAGGCGGCAGCCTTCGGCCGCCGCCTCCGGCCGGAGTGCACGCTTCGCGTGCACAAAAGAGGCTTGTAACGTGTACCAAAGGGGGTATAATAGTAAAGGGGGTATAATAGTAAAGGGGGTATAATAGTAAATGGGGAACATAGTATACCCACAATAAATGCAACGGTCGTGCTTGCCAGCACTGTGATTTGTGTGAAAGGCTAAAATAACGCATCAGTTACAACTTGCATGCTATCTCTTGTCAGGTGACGGTGTAAACTTAATTCATATCGTAGTTAAAAGCATTAATAGCAATGTTCAGTCTTGACTACTGGGACGAAGTTTTGAATAAGTATGATAAGCTGCATCAGACGTTGACATTTATAAAATCGAATAATTTAAAAACATTTTGCACTTGTTGGGCAGCCGCAGCCGGGCCTTCGTACTTTGATTTTTATCGCTATGTAATCGGCAGAAAAATGTTCTACTAAATAAAATTGAAGTGAAAACTCATATGTTTAGATCTACTTTCTCTACACCGGGAAACGTATGAAAATTAATGATGGTTTACGTGCAGGCGAAGAAGTATAAGGAGTTGAAGAAAAGGGAAGAGCAAATAGAGGATTACCTCGCTAAACACGACACCCTAATCGCTGAGGAGAAGGAGGCGAAGGGTATACACGAGGAGAATGTTGTTAAACTACTGGAGGCGACCTCTACAGGTTTTTGATATGGGCTTCATTACGAGTACAAAATCAGGACAAATTGGGCGATAGTCAATACCTTCATTTTGTGTATTTGTGTATCACTACTTTCAAGTGTGATTGTTCTTGTATCGCAAAAGGTCTCCAACAATTTTAACTAAACCGATTTCACACTTCACTCTATTTTTACTGACGTGTCGCTGGTAAGGGTACAAAATGTTCACTAAGTTACAGTTTTAACATTTCACTTTACCCCTTAGGATTATCAAGAGCCAAGATGTTGCCCTCAGTGCGGGACTACAAGGAACTGAAGGATGATCTGGAGTTCAAAGCAACAGAGGCTGATCGGGCTAAGGACACATTGACCACACTTGAAACTGACAAAACTAAATTAAGAAGTGATTTCCAGAAACTTGAGCAGCTGGAAACTAAAATTAATACAGAAATGGTAGGTTTTCTTGGATTTCAGCACTGTTTAAAGTACTAGTTATAACATCTAGAATTTATTTTAAGAACCATCTAATTTCCGGAATTTATGGTTGATTTAAACTCCTTAGCTGATTTGGAGTTTGTAGTTTCCCTGTACAGTGTATACAAAATTAGTCGCTTGTATTACAGACGCAATTTAACAGAGTTTAAGACTCGAGTCTACATAATTATCTTACATAATTACAGTCTAGAATATAATATGGACGTGTACTAAAAGCCACTCATTTTCCTTGATACCAAACAAATCTACAGAACATTTGCCAAGAATCCAAACTTTAAATAAGCCCTGATTCAGTTTCCAGTGAAGAACCAATGAGACTTTTAATCAGATTGTACTCTAGGTCCAACTTCAAGATAAGATCAGTAGGATGAACGAAGAGCTGGAGGTTTACAGCGACACTAACAAACTGAAGAAGAGTCTAGATGACAAGAGAGAACTGTTGTTGACGGAGAAGGAGAAGATTCTTGGCACCAGGGACACCAGCAAGGCTAATTTGGAGAAGCTTCAGTCTGAGGTGGGTTCTTTTTAAAATGATTTATTCTTGTTGGGGATTTGTCTGTTCGTCTCGTTCACTGTCAATCTTCGAAGTCGCGTGTAATCGTGTATACTGTATAATGCGAAATTTCAATCACAGCTTCTGACAAATTTACATCACAATTTTTTTCCCTGCTCTTGCCGAAGGCAAAAAGATCGTAGGGAATAAGTAATCGGGTTTGGATATATGAGGTGGCCCGACGGTCCTGCGATGTCGACAAAAGTCTGCTCCTTCGCAATATAGACCACTCCCCTATAATTATGAGTATAGGAAGCGTCTGTTATGCTGCGCGCGACGCTCGGCATGTGTTAGTTAATTGCAGTATCCAACGCGAATTTCAATTGTCAAACGACGCCGTTCAAATTAAATTAGCCCAAAATTTGTGCGCAGCGTACTAAATATTCGATTACATGCAATCCTGCACGCGCGCAATGACAAATTACGATTAGATGAAAATATTGCAACTTTTTAACAACAAAATAATCCAATATCTAATTTTTATTAATCGATAAAATTAACTTTTCGTTGCAAATATTAACGGTTTAAGCAGGGAAAATTAATCGTGCGTAGTGTAACCGCGGCGAAATTCTTGTTGTAATCGCAACTTCTATATATTTATATGAATTTATCTCGTATAGATTATATGTAGAATCGTCTTGGTCATAGAAATCACAATACTAATATAATATGATATATCACGCATTGATAGATGAATTGTTTAATCTTTATATAATCATGCATGATATTCTGTTGAGTGACATCACATTTATGTAGATCAAGCTAACATACTTAGCTAATAGATTTTTACACTACAGCAGAAATCTCATAAAGAAGGCACTTTATTAGGAACTTGAACTTTTTGATTCGTCTTGGTCATAGAAATCACAATACTAATATAATATGATATATCACGCATTGATAGATGAATTGTTTAATCTTTATATAATCATGCATGATATTCTGTTGAGTGACATCACATTTATGTAGATCAAGCTAACATACTTAGCTAATAGATTTTTACACTACAGCAGAAATCTCATAAAGAAGGCACTTTATTAGGAACTTGAACTTTTTGATTCGTCAACCTTGTTGTCCTTATAATTCTTCTTATTCTCGATTTCATCATTATTCTTGTTGCCTTTTTTGTAATTTTTGTCCTTTTCGTCCTTATAGTTCTTTCTTCAATATCTTTATATTGTTTCCTCAACTGCCATATTCTCAGCACGACGCCCTAAAAGTCCTGTTAGAGGAGAACGAGACTCACGTGCAGTTGACTAACCTGGAGAGAAAATGGCAGCACATCGAACAAAACAACCAGTTCATGAAGGACTTCATAGCTACTAAGGTATTTGTAGTTCAACGATTTTTATTTTTATTAAACAAATCTTTTCAAACAATACATAATTTAAATAGTAATCTCTTTTCGCTCCTATGAGTGGGTCGATCGTATAATTTGATAGTTGGGGACGAAGTGAGACCTGAGAGTCTCCACTCAGTGTTTAAAGTTTATTTATTCATTGAATTAATAATTGTACAGAAATGATTATATATTAGTTGCATCTGATATTTTTTCATTCCTAAACTTGTGGTTTCTGCTAGAGGTTGTAAGGGCGGATTGTAACAATGGAGCACAATACAAATCCAATAAACATTATCTCTAACCACCTGCACCCCGTTCTCTATGCACACTTCTCCGGTTCAGCTTAATCTCAGGTTCAGTTTGCGGTCCTGTATTCAACATGTAGTTTTTATGAGAGCAGCAATCGACAGATATAATCTGAGACTCTCTCGTCATGTCCACGTTACAAAGTAAAATTTATTCTGTCAAGCTTTGCCCACTTACCAAAGTAGCTTTTGTTTAAATGATTCTGTCAAGTTTCATTGGGAATAGCAATAGGTTGGGCTAGTCTTTGAGACGAAAAGTTGTATTAATCAATAGATTCCACTCCTTGATAAACGTTTGCTGCATTGATGTACGAGTCCAAATAGCTCGACAAATAGATCGACAAATACCACACGTTGCGATTAAATGCTTATAACCTCAAAGCTCACGCTCGCCTTTTTTTAAGGATCTCCTACGAAAGTTTGCTAAAAGCACTCAACATGGGAACCTATTAGTTCCTACTTCCTATGCTATCTAATTCTATGCTTGTAAATACTCTTCCACAAGCTTAATCAAGCTCAATCTGTTCGTCAAGATTGTAGCGCTCTGAACTATTTATTAATTAATTTTCGATCGAATCTACAGTTTCAACTTGGAAAGTTATAAAGTTTCTAGAATAATATTTGCGATCGTCGCAGGCTGAATAACGTCCAATGTAATGCTTGGCGAGAGGTTTATCTTTGTAGGTTTTAACCGTAAAATTTTGGACCATCCATAATATTCAGTAAACATTTCACCAATAGGTTTATTATAGATTTTATCAGTGTAATGTGATACAAATTATAAAGTACAAACAGGGCGTAAACTTTTTGCTGACTATGAAGTTAATCTTGCATTATTATGTTTAAAGCCATCGTATTACTATCAACATGGCAAGTGCTTTCGCTGTGATTTGGCATGATTTAACGCTCATATATAATACTCGAACTCAAACCGCTAGTTAAATATGGTTGTACTGATGATGAAGGTAGACTTGTTAGACTTGTTGATACTCTAAGTAAATGTTAGAGGGAATCGGGATACTATCTAGCAGCAGTTTATAGGTTTGTTGGGTGTATTTCAGGGTGACTGTCTCTCTTAATGTTAGTTTAAACCATTTCTACTTTCTAGTGCACTAAGAGACCACACTGCTAACGTTGCAATCCTAGACCTGACATTACGTGCAAGTGCAAGATTTGTCTATGAAAGGTATCATTTGAGTGGTGCAAAAATTTTCACTTTAAATACCTCCCGAAAGTTAAGAGCCTTTTAACACGTCGTGACGTCGTACTTTGAACCCTGAACTTGCCTTATAGGTTATAATTATAAAAACACAAGAACAATTCTTGCATAGTTTTAAAACGTGCATTATTTTAGCCGTGATAATAGCTTTAACTCTTGCCGTGATAACCGAGCTGAAACACAGAAGGCATTTGATTCGGATCCCGTCGCTTTTGTCGGTTTTTAGTGGTTTCCCTAAATTATTAATAGCGAAAACTTGTGATTCAGGATATCATATCGTGCGACTTTTTAAAATCTAATTGTCAATTTTTCTGAACAATTTTGAATCATCCGACCTCTGGTTAGACGACAGATGATATAAAATTATTACGTCACTACAACATACCCTATAGATGATTTCCAAAAACTCGTCGACTTCAGACCTCACAGAGCAGTATGGTGCACAAAACGAAGCAGAAAGATATACCCTGATTGGATGGTGCGTGATTGTCCTAGTGATGAATATAACAGGAAACTCCATAATCCTCCTCATCACAATCCGATACAGGGCGCTCAGACTGGACAGAATCAGTATCCTCCTCATCCAGAACATTGCCGTCAGTGACCTCTTGGTGGCAGTTTTTGGGGTCCACCCAACCCTCGTGTCCCTAATCCGGAACAAGTGGCCGTATGGGACATTCCTATGCGGTATGTTTGCAAGTGCGGATAACATTTGTAAGGTGTCTGGTGTCCTATTGATATGTGGTATGCACATCACTAAGCTCTTTTCTCTGCTCTACCCCTTACATTCCATCGGACGAACTAACAGATCCGGATATCTGATCTGCACTGCTATTTGGCTCCTCTCTACTGTTGTTGCAATCACCAATATCATAGTAGATCGTGGTAAAGACAGCTTCTACTTCGATTATAGGATCTATAAATGCAGGTATTCCTTCTCAGCCACGGTGTGGAAATGGCTGCTACCGGTTACAGGAATTCTCCTTAACCTGGTTCCAAATATCATAGTGATCTGCACTACGATTGCTCTATTGTCTTTGGTGAGAAGGGCTGTCGGGAGGATTAATAGACAGGGCATTGTAACTGCAGTTTATGTGGGATTTGTATACTGTATTTCCTTTCTTCCTTGTGCGCTTTATTTGACTGTTTACGTGCAAATAAAATCTAGTCTAAATTCCATTATATCCCCAGGGTTCGAAAATTTCTTGGAATTTACTGTTTATAAGTTTGTATTTTTTGTTGTGTACGTCAATGGGATCTCTAACATTTTCATTTATTATTTTTCTATAAACAGCATTAAATTATTTTTAAAGAAGGCAATGTTTTGTTATTTCCAGCGTTTGACACGTTGGTGTCGTTTTGGGCAGTCGGACAATTTTGAAATGCGAAATTTTAGAAGACCTTAAAATGCATTTTTAAAACAAAACATATTATTCGTTATCTTTTCCTTTTTCTAGATATAAGAATAAAAATGTATATTTGTAATGTATCTCCTCAGATGTTTAACAATAAGACGTTAATAATGTTATTTTTGTTTACCACGGCTAAAAGATCTCTAGTTCCTGTTTCCCCATAATTTAATATCGCACCACTGAGAGAAAGTTAATTAAGAGACTATACTACTAACTACAGCTACAGTCTGCTCCTTAATTACTAACTGATAGAACGTTTACACATGATACATATGTTCAAATGTTTACCTAACCGGAACCGTACTCTAATAAATTTGTTCTTTTGCAGAGTCAAGAATCGGACTATATTCCCCTTAGAAAGGAGGTAAAGGAGAAGATAAACAACATCAACATACTATTACAACAAGCTTTAGCTGCAGCTGCAACTCAATAAAACTAACAGCTACACACACACAACGTGCTTTAAGACAGATACTCAGATATTTTTTCCAGATATATGTTTACCAGTGTGCATTATCAGAAAAAGAGGGGGGAGGGGGGGGGGGAGAAACATAGTTTTAGCTTCAACAGGGCTGTCACGCAAGATCTTGTGAGGGCAGATGCTGGTAATCTTGCCTTGTGCACATTTGATTGTTGATCTATACAATTGTAATTGTACAGTCAGATCATAGGTATATATGGGATATACTTGTCAGTCATTGAAATTGATATTCTTGCCTAAAGCTTAAAGTTTGTCTTCCTGCTTAGAAATTTGGGTTTTGACCGACATGAAACTTGCTGTATATTTCTCCCGAGTGTATTATTTGTCCTATATGTTATATGATGTATCATGTACAGTTTTTTGATATTTTACTTCCATTTGTTTGTTGAATAAAATGGCAATTATTTCTTGTCTCCTCAAATTTATAACTAGATAAAATACTCTAGTGCTCCCTTTGAAATGTTAGCTATTCTGGGAATTTCTCCTGAAAAGTTTCGACCTTAACTTATTTCCTGAAAGATAGGGAAGGCTCCTTGGGCCCGCAGTTTACCTGCAAATTGCAAGATAATACAATGTTCCGTGGATTTGATGACGACCCTTTCTTTCGGTAAGTTTTGAGTTTAATTTCTAATACATTTTTGTATTTTATTTGAAAATCAAAATATCGGAACCCACTTTCAGAGCCCGATCATAAACTTTGCGTGAAGTGATCGTTATAATATACTACTTGAACCCTCTTAGTCTTTTCAAAAGTAAATTTAATCATTTGGTGCATATTTTTGCGGCAATTAATATAGATACCTGATACATGCTAGGTATTATTCATAGTACCTAGATCACATCCTATATTTTGTTATTAGCTCATCATAAAAATCACAGAGAATTTAATGACGGAATGCGACGTACCCACGGGGATATACCTGGAAGTATTATGGGAAGACGTGAAGACATGTTCAAAGATATGGACAACATGATGAACAGCATGATGCGAGGATTTGGTGGCAACATGGTTAGTTGTATTCTTGGCCAATCCATATTTTCTACTTATTTTTCGGAAAGTATTATATTATATAAGGAATGTATTGTCGCGGAATGTTACAAATATGTTATCTCAGGGAATGCTGGAGGGACCACGTGAGAGTGGGACAGACAGACAGGTCGCTGAACGCCGACCTAACAACGCCAGGAACTTCTTCCCGGACATGGTTAGTGTAGCTCTTTAATTGCAATCTTATTAATTCACTACTTACTTACTGAAGCTAAAGAAAAATCACACAACTATTTACTTATTTTAAAAAAACTTCAGGGAAGTTTGGCTCGGCAGGTGGATGAAATGGCAAAGGACGGTAACGGTTACTCATTCTCCTCTCAACAAGTGTACAGTTACCGTAATGATGGTTCGGGTGAACCTCAGAAGTTTCAGGCGACCTCGTCTACCGCTAAGGGACCTGGAGGGGTGAGGGAAATAATTTCCTTTAATTAATTACTTTAATTAATTAATACCTGGGAATATTTATACTAACAGAAGTCAATGAATTAGTATTCAGTATTCCGTTCTGTTTAAGCTTCTGCTCAGTCTATAATTTTGACTTTTATTTCAGATAAAAGAAACAAAGAAAGGATTCAAAGACTCAACAAAAAAGACACAGAAGATGCAATATGGTCGACATATTGCAGACAGAGCTGCTATAAAAGAAAGATCTCAGGTTAATATAGAAATCTTTGTATTTGATTCACATTTTCGGTTACTTATTGACAATGAGTTAAATACATCATATCCATTAATTAGTTGGACATCGATTATCTTTCCAGATAATAAATAACTTAGTGTTAAATATTCTTCTTTTTAGGTTCGAGATCAACGACAAGAAAAAACTGATTACTTCGGTCTCAATGAGGCACAGGCTCCAGATTTTAACCGAGAATGGGGAACAAAAGCCAGCGGTCTCTACAGACCATCATTTGCTGACACACAGCCTGCTAAAAACAGAGGTACTTAATAGGAGAGGGTTATACTTTATGTGGTCGACTTATTTAAATTGGGAACAAACTTCTCGATCATATTAGTATCACAAGTCACGTGTTTAATTGTGTTTTTATTGTCAGGGATTGACAGAACAGGACGTCGAGAGAAAAAAAGAGCACTACCTCAGGCAAAGAAGTAGTAAACGATCTCCTCGAAAATTAGAACTAGTTTGCTTGTTTTTTTGACAGAAAAACTCTTGATATCTAATACTAAGAAACGTTTTATAAAGTTGTACATATAAAAATCAAGCAAGACGGACTTACTTTTTCATTTCTTCGCGAGTTCGATTTTATCAAAATAATTGTGTATTTCGTGTTAATTATTCTTAGAGATATACATTCGTTTTCATTTCCATTATATAATGACATGTCACATGTGGCTACGTAGTATTCTTACTAAGTTAACACTAAAACTTGTGAGGCAAGAACATATACCGATAAAACTAGTAGAGCAAGATATGTAATCTGCAAAAAAAACAATCAACAAATTTTGCTTAAACGTTATTAATCATTATATAGCGTCTACTATCTATTAGGGCTTATATTATACTGATAACTGGGCAGATAAATGTTTTTCATCTCATTAAATTTTCCATCATCTTCATTAATCTTTTCACGCCATCCTTCTACTATCCTTCCGCCTTTTTGCTGAACCCCTTGGTTTAAGCCCACCCATTTTTATTAGTTCATGCATTGTTCATGAAAAATATTTCTTTAACTCTAATAATCTAAAGACAGCAACAGTGTTCTATATATACTGTACGTGCATTTGCTAAGCCTCATACCAGGTCACGGTGATAAAATTAAGATAAAGTAAAAGTCGTTAAGGTCTGCCACTTGATTATACCACTAGACTAAATCTGATTAGTTTAAACTCGTACAATTCTGCAAACTTGTCGAACTTTTGGTTCATGAGGTTCAAATCTTTAATGAGAATAACGAATAATTGATGTTCAACTCACGATGTTTCTCTGTTTGCGTAGAAAAATAAAGATTCAGATATTAAATTGAATTAGGCAAACTGTACAGAAAATCTCCAATTATGCTTGAAATTGAGCAAGTTTGGTGAGGTGATACAAGGGGGAATAGAAATGAGGATGATAAATCGAATAATTACAGTACATGGCTACATCAAAAATAATCTAATATTCCCTGAGCTGCAGGTGCGTCTAATCAATATTGCTAATTGAATTCGCACCAGAGAACCGCTCTCTTATCAAGCTATCTAAACTCAATTCTATTTCAGTGTCGTTTGTAGGAGCCATGTTTTCTGAGCTCCACAGACCACAGTTTCTACGGAAATTAATTCCTTTCTTTCTAACTCAGGCAGTTTAACATTTTGTTAGTATTGTTTCTCAACCCCGATATTATTTTCTGTAACTGGCACCGTAACCAGATGCGTTTAAATTAACATTGCAAAACTATTAGTAGCAATAGCTTGGGCCGACAAATATATTGAGCTGTAATACCGATTGTCGTGTAATACTGCACAGAGATGAACATGGACAGTATCATTTCAAAGCGAATTGAAACGAAGCCCATGAATTACAAATTTTATAAATACACAAATAAAGTTATTGATTGCAGTACTCTGCAGAAATGTTGGTTGTTCTGCTAGCTTGCTTTCTTGGTGCTGTCACAGCAGGTAATTCATTTTGAAATGTTAATGTGGGCACATCATACGGATAATATCTCATTATCATAGTAGACAACAGCTGCTGTGTAGCAGCGTACTCTGTCAAGTGTCAAAACAGTAATTCGTCCTACACAGTTATTCGTCCCAGACATTAATTCGTCCTACATAAACTTGGAGTCTTTCAACATTTCAGCTCCGACACTGGACCAGTGCCCACGTATCATGTCGGAAGCAGGGTTGAGTCCCAACTTTGCTCCGATGGTTACACACAGTATCCATTCTCTCACCGTGGAGGATATTCGATATTATTTTAAACCCGATGCCACAGAGGAGAACGGCATCCCAACCGGTAATTTATATTATGATTTGGAGGATTTATCGGCCCTGCGATTGTTCACACAATCTATTCATTTCACATTATCCATGAGTTCCACATATCATGTAAAATGATTCAATCTTATCACAGTTTTGACTACTGTTTGAGGACGAAAATGGGGGTGCTGTTTTTCACCATCCTTTGCTGCAAAAACTGTTTGTGTTGCAGAAAAAATGTATTCGTATTGTGAGTAGAAAAACAATAAAGATTGATCACAAGTTTCAACATACTAAACCAATGTTCTTTCGTTTGAAATTATTAACCTTGTTTAACTTATTTACATACTTTACTGGATGTATTGCAATGAGGCTTCTTAAAGAACAAATTCCTATTGATGTTTATCGCCGGTTTAGCAAGTCAAGTAGATCATGCAGACTGCTATATCCTAAATTCTCAATGTCTAAGACCAAGAATAGTAATTTTGTTTTTAATGCATCCAAAATTTTAAATTATCTCCTTGATCATGATGTACCGTATCATATTTTGTCAATTTCACTATTTAAAAAGAGATTTAAGAACCATTTGCTTCATATACAAAACCTAGGGCTAAATGGGGATCATGGATGGCTACCATGTAATCACGATATCTTCTCGAATGTATCAATTTCATAAAATAAGTTAATTTCAACTAGGGAAATATAAATTGAAGTTAATGTTTTGGGGACGTTTGTGTGTTTTTTGTGTGTATTTTATTGTGAGTATTTAAAACAAGATAGGGACTATAATTGTAACGGTTTAAGTGTATACGTCTTTATTAATGTTGCCTCCGATTTCACTACACTGACAACATTCACTTTTTATTTTTTGTGTTATTTTTTACTTGAGATCTCATATCATAAAATTTTACCATCGCGATACGGGTATTAATTTACCTCCCAGCGGTGAGACACCGCTTCCCTCCATCGCCATGTTTGAAGCTCTCCCATCATCTGTTCTACTTCAGAGGGAAGTGATTTATTTTATATTTTAAAATTGTTATTATTCCAGTATAACAAATAAATTTTCTAATCGTGTAATCGTGTAATCGTGAACGTTCTACAAAATTTTAAAATATTGAAAATGTAAGAACATTTACTATATTAACGGTATTTGTTATGTTTTACTAAATGCTGACGATTTCAACTTATTTAACTTGTTTCAGTGAACTTGGATGTAAGGAGCAGCGAGCGAGTTCTCTCCGATGCCCCCCTGATTGGATATGATGACGTGTTTAAGACTAAGGCTCTAAAGAGTTTCGACATGGTAAGAGCGCTATATTCTCAAGACAGGAACTGATAATAATAGTGCTAGTGCTATTTCTAAACCCTTATATTTCTTTTAATTCTTACTGTTTAACTCTAACTTCGTTAACTTATTAAGTGCAACCTGTAACCGCGAATCATGATCCGTATGCTAATGAAAACATATCGTTCCATCCCTAGTCTATACTCTATCAGCCTTTCTTGAAGTCGATGGGGCACTCGAAGTGTATAATACCCTCTTTTTTCAGGTGATGAGGAACATGAATAGAACTTGGTGGGGTATCCCAAACTACAGCGTCCTGGAGAAGGTGTCTCACGCACTTCACATGGCAGAGGCTTGGGAAAATGCTATGGAGGAGTACAAGATGATTGAGAGACTGTTGGACCCAGAGTCTGACATCTGTTCTTGTGTCACCGGTACGTGGACGTATACTTCGTATACTGCTTGGGAACATATTACGTCTAAGCTAGATTGTGATTTGTGGCCATTTTAGATCCGACCCCCTCCCCAGACCGAAAAAAACCATGCTTTTCAATTAAAATGTTTCCAAGATTCACAATTCACGCCCTGTATTCCCTTTTTTAATGAGATAGATCTCCAATTATTTTTATTCATGCTATATATTTTGATCAGATATCGAGCATAACGGAGTCCTCAACCATCTCAACCTTATCGCTTTCAAGATAAGATACCCTGGGATAACCTCTGGAAATGCTACTTTCACCAACTATTGTGAGTAAGAACAATTTAACCACACAAAATTGGTGAATTTCATGCAGGACAACTTAACTTATCATCGTCTTACTGTAGTTTTGAGCCAGTTTGTCGGTGCCACTCACGACGAACAAAAATACTAAAAATTTAACCAAACAGTAAGTTTACCTCGGTAAAAATTTAAACATTTGGTTTAAAATTCTTATCATTTATTCAGGATAACGCAAAATATATTTCAGATTTGGCCCAAGCAAATTCAACTGACCCCACCACCGAAGGTAAGCATCAAATTTTAGTCAAGTTTCAAGAAAAATATTAAAATACAGAAGTAGTAATGATTGGTGATCGTTCACACCTATCTACCTTCCACAATACTATTTTCTACATAAAAACAATCTCTAAGGTTTACATAATCACTTATTCAAAACTTTATTTTGTTCAATTACAGGCTTATAATAAACCCTAAGTGCTTGTAATTAGCGTTCAAGCAATTAACTTCATGTTTCTCAGATACGCACGTAAGAGAGAAGCGTGCCCCCGAACCTTGGAAGGCCAGCTACTCCCAAGGTGGCTACTCAGCCTCGTACTCGGCTGGCAGAGACAAACCAAGCAGATTTCACAGATCCATGAGTTTTGACGGCATTGACTTTGATCTCTCTGATCTTGAGGTAAAAATATTTTGATAGTCGAACAAATTTTGATAGTCGAATAAACATAAAATTTAAACGATAAATTTATCTGAAATTTCAGTCTAAATCATGGCTATTCGAGGCCATCTGGTTGTGCGGCCACCAAAACTGTCATAATTTTCGCCGGTTACACCGCTTTTAATTAGTTCGCCATGAATAAATCATCGCTTTTAAAAGTAGCACAGATTTATAACTGATAATTGTCAGCTGCTGAAGGATGTAGCGGAGAAGTTGGTGGATGAAGATCACGTGATGGAATACCATATCGACAGTGCGGAACACTGGGAATACTGGAAGAACATTCTGATCTTGTCGAGTGAGGCATCCGCCTACTACGATCTCGCAATGTTCATGTTCTGCATGCTCAACTAATTACAAAGACAGTCTGTTTATATAACGAGATTTTGCAAGGATTTCAATGATTATCTGGAAGAGGATTCCATTCCTCGTGGTTTTATTTAAATAAAGATTAGTTTTATATTGTACTTCAAGTCAGAAATATGAGATATTTATAGTACAATGTTTCATTATGTTTTGCATCGATAGAAGTGTCTTAATTTTACCCCTTAGTTAAAGCCACTGAATAAATCCATCACAGTATTATTGATCAAGAACAACGCTACTCAAAATGTGTGCCCAAATTGCGTCCTGTACTCTTCACTAAAATGGAACGCGCGACACTAGTGTTGTCATAAAAAGTGTAGCTGTGAGCATAAAATTACCTTATATGGTAGTGCGGTTGTGGTATCTAGGACAACGCGCCGCGCATAATAACAGTTAAATATTATCATCTTATCGAAAAGGCAGTATATTACAAATTCTCATGTAGTGTGTACACAAGGTGATTGATTTAGTGACCAGGAGCTCAAACTTTTAGCTATCGTAAGTCTATCTGGACTTCAAATTAAATTATCTCTGCTGTATACTCCATATATCATACTTATATGAGTTGTGTGAATAAATTTCATTCCCAACAAATTTCGTTGATTTTTTTAGTAGAAATAAAATAAATGGGTTAAAATTAGCAAAACTGAAAGATGGTATTATGTACATTCGATAAACACTTTCAAAGTTTGCAGTTATAAAATCCTTTATTTTATCACACATTAGCACAAAAATCGATCAAACAATTTTCCCATTACATAGTGGATCGTTGACGAAAAGTTTCAAGAAAGACGTGATGAACAATATTTTAGGCCAGGTAATAAGTATCAATAACAGATAAAATTACTATTATACCATTCTTTAACACATTTTAAATTTGAATTTTTTCGGTTCAATCGCTTCAAAATATATTTTCTTTTAACAAACTTGAATAAATGGCATGCCTGGCACAAGATTTTCATAATCCATATGAAATGTCCAAATAAATACAAATAAGTTACAATCTATTGCTGGGTGTCAGATGACTCGATAATAGGTGGAATATCGGTTGATTGAAAGTCTGTTGCAGCCGTTGTCTCGATGTTTGGTATCGTAGGACCAAGGGGATCTACGGGCGATGCTGAAGAGGGGGCTGGAAGTACCGAAACTGCTGAGTCGGCTGAATCTTTAGGGGCCGGTGCTACGGGGGCCGGGGCTGGTTCCTCGTTGGCCCGAGACCGTGCTCTGGCCTCTAATCGTTGCTGACTTGCCTGATCATGCCTGGGGTATTCTGTTGAGGTTTAGTAAAAAATAGATTAATCAGAACAATTTTCCACATATTATTAGAAATGAGCTAATAGGATTTTTTAAAAAACTAAATCACGGATATTTTAAAATCCTAACCTCTTATCACACACAGCTCTGATCAGCTCATCAACCATAACTCTTGAAAGAAGAACATGTCCCATATTCTCCTTCACTCGGCTCAACAACCAAGGCACAAAGTTGCCTTCAACATCCTTGGCAACTGGATCGTAGAAGTACCCATTTTCACTGAGAGCACCAAACACGGAGGGCACAAGATCTGACAGATAGTTCTGAGCGAATGCTCGGGCTGCAATCTTTCTGGCAGTTTCTGCCTCAATGGAAAGAACCTCCCGTTGTTGTGCCATACGCCTCTGTTTTTCCTCGCAGTGTCTGCGTTCTTGTTCCTCCAGACGTTGTGTCTCCACCAATTCAGCATGTCGTAATTCTTCGAATTGCCTCTGTAATATTATGATTTGTTAACATCTTCAGAAATTGAATGGATTCACAAAGCATATAAATTAAAATATCTGAATTCTCCAAATTATTGTAATTAAGGTTGTGGTGTAGTAAATGACAGATGAAGATTCTGAAACAAGGTTACTGACTACGAAGATGTAATTAAAACTGACCTGTTGAGCTCTCAGGTTAGCCAGCTCCTCTTCCTCCATGACTTCCATCAGGGCTTGTTCAATGGTCTTTCCAACCAGAACTTCTAGAATCGGCTTCACTTCAATATCGAAATCAAACAACTGCAAATATCTTTTATTAGAATTGAAACCCCAATTAACTATTGAGTTAGACAGTTTGACGATTCTCAGAAGTCTCCGTCCTACTAGGATCAGGATGAGTACCGTTATCCCAAGAATGGCAAATTAAAATGCAAACCAATAGAATCATACCTCTCCGTCAAGAATCTGAGTGACGTTATCAACTCCAGTTTTAGCTGGTACGAACAATGGGGTGGGCGGTCTATCCAGGAAAGCATCTGTCTGACATTCAACATCGGCTTCCTCAACTCGATCTAGAACAAAATTATATAACCGATTGGGAAGAAGTCTTCAAGACTCCTAAAACTGCCCACTGTTCAGTGTCCTGCTGACACCGTGATACAACCACAGATAATCTTATAATACCGTTAATCCTTGTAATTTGTGTACGTTTGCAAGTAGTCAGATGTTCAAAGAGCAGCACCTTTTATTTCTTCCAGGTAGAGTTCAGTCTGGACGTCGATGTGTTTCCTTCCCTCAACTGGTTCGGCAGATCTTGGTCTCAGCTGATCAGTTGCCCTCTTCCTAGCGAGAATACGTCTCCTAGCTTCTGCTTGTCTCTGAACCTCAATTGGGTCCGGCTGTACCGTCTGAAATTAAGAACATTAATTATTTCATAGATTAAGTGTTTAAATTTGAAATCACAAATGCGGCGATGATACTCCATATTTTAATTTAAACTGAACTGAAATCATGTCAATGCGCGCGCGGACGGATGCGCGTCTAGCTCAAGACGCGCGCTAGTACTGCTGAAAAAGTACTCTGTTTTGTAATACGTATAAATTACCATGACAACCAAATAGAAATCTAGCTAGTTCTTGTTGCTCTCAATAATTCAGTATCGAGGAGCTATTATAGCTGTTATAGTATTTAAAATCCACAAACGACTTAAGCATGTCATTTGCCGCTTAAACTCCTTACGTCTCTAATCAGAACAAACGATGCTGCAATTATGCCTCTAGTTTAGGGTTAGATCATATCAAACGTCAATGTCGTTACGACATTCAAAAATATACATGTAGTTAATGGTTAGTTCATATTAAACGATATTCAAAAACCGACATGCTACTGTGGTCATGTAAATTTCATGTCCTGTCGATAGAATTCATGATTCTTGTTGCAATTTTCGATGTAAAACCAAACGCAAGCCATGTTGAACAGCGCTGACATTCGATATTAGAGGCCCTTGCTCCTATCTCCGATTACTAATATTTCGCAAGCCACAGTGTAATGCAAGTACCTCGTGACAGTACAAGAAGCTCATTTTAATTGAATCAAAGGAGGAGCACTTGAGAAATATTGATAAGATGTGCAACTAGCCACAGTAAGTCCCACAAAGGAATCAGCTTCTTATTTTCGTTATGTTCAAGTTAATTTTGTTGTTTGTGATTGATTTAGCTGTCGGTGAAAGCTGCAGTAACTATTGCAAGTTTCTGTGGGACAATACCACAGGAAATGCAACATCACTCAATGTGCCTCGCAATTCTAATGAACTGGGAATAGCGGGTATTGTAACAATAGATGGAAACGTATTCCAAGTTCCAGATAATCCGCCCACCACAGGTGACCTGTACACTCAGATTCATTTCAGAGAAAGCATGATAAATAACCCAATATTTTTTACGTTCATGGTGAAAAATGGTACGGGAGAAAACGTTTTGCATGTTCAGGCGTCATACGCTCAGACGGATACAATGCCAGTCTTTGAAGTCACCAATCCCTTTCAAAGCAACCAGATCAACCTCCAAGTATCAGATCTGAATGCAGATTCCCAAAACTACTACTCACTTTTTACCAATAGAACAGCATTCTTAAACAAATGTGACTTTGGGAGCAAAGCCTCGTGGACTAGCATATATTCGACACACAATTTAAAATTGAATGACACTGATGAGATACGACGCACCCTGACTGGACCTTACAGCTTCAACTATTTGTCGGTTTGTTCGAATCATAATCCGACTATCTGCCCTCCAAACCTTGATAACCCCACCCTGGGATCTGACTTTAACATAAGCTGCGTGGGATCTGGCGCTCCTTACCTTACCATGACATGGAGCACAGATAAAAGCGTTACCATGACAACGCATCCATCAATTTACAACAGTTCAGCTGCAGACCACTCAATCTCTTCTGTTCTGACTCTTCCCAACTTCTCATTAGAGCACGAGGGGGACTACAAGTGCACTGTCACCAACTCAAACTTTCAAACTTCCGCATCTCAAAACTTTACTGTCAAGTATACACAGCCTTTCTCAGTTAATTTCCTCTCCAACGACACTTTTTCGGCAGCGACAATAACTACATTGCGTTGGAAAGTCACAGGGTGGCCACTAGACATCCTGAAATTGAAGTGCAACACCAGCAATGTTGTCTACAACACCACCATATCCACTGTTACTCCCACCGCCAACTTCTCCGTATCATTTAACACGACCAGTGACATCGTAGCGTGTCAGCTTACAGATTCTCAAAATGCAACCGTTGCCGTGACAACAATATACAGGATTGGGATGAATTGCAGCCAGGGAGAATATGGCAGCGGTAAAGAATGTTTGTTGTGTCCCAAAGGGGACACGAGTTTGAGAGGCAGCAGCGTTTGTTACCATGGGAACAGTAGCTGTGGTCCAGGATTGTATTATGGGGATACCAGCTGTGTTGCGTGCCCCCTAAACATGATGAGTGAACAGGGAGCAGTGAAGATTCAGGAGTGTTATCACGTGAACAGCACGTGTGAAACAGGACAGTACGCTGTGAACAGTAGTGTGTGTCAGACCTGCGAGTGGGGCACCACTAGTTACAGGGAGGCGGTTAAAGTACAAGACTGTTTCCACCCTCCTACAAAATGCTCTGCTAATCGTTACTACTCTCTCAACTGGCCCTGTGTTCCCTGTCCACAAGGCCAGATTTCTCAGACCGGAGCAGCTAAGATACAAGACTGTCGCCCAGCTAACAGCAGCTGTCCGATGAACTTCTACGGGATTGGTAACAGTTGTAGTGATTGTACACGAGGGAAGCTAAGCCCACCGAGCTCAGTAAAGGAAGAAGATTGTAAAGTTGCCAGCAGTACATGTGAGAGAGGGAGTTGGGGGACAGACTCCTGCGAGTTGTGTCCCTGGGGTGAGACGAGCGACCAAAACACGGCAGTAAAACCCCAGGACTGTTACAGCTACCCAGCAGCTAAAACATGTTCAGCTGGCAAATACACCACCACGCAATGTGTCACGTGTCCAGTCACATGTGCTCCTTGCCCGGCTAACCACACCTCCAAATCTGGCGCTGCTAAACCACAAGACTGCACCGAGATGTCCAGTAACTGCTCCGAGGGTTACTATGGGTACCAGAACAGGTGCCAGTTGTGTCCAGATGGGCACACGAGTCCACCAAGCAGTAAGACGGTGGATCAGTGTGTTAGCACTAGGCTCAGTCCACAGGTGGTGTTTGTGATCGGGGTTATTACTGTGATGATAATGTTAGGACTCATAATGGTGGGCACTTTCGTCAGATTCAAGTTGAAAACAAAGCGGCAAAAGAGGAATATGAGGGCTATTTTCAGCACCAGGAACAGTGGCACTTTAATCGTAAAGAACCATTTTGCAGACTGATACAGTGACACAAGATATAAGATTTTATCCTAAACAGTGGACTATTTTGAGATGTGCATTTGTTCTGAGGTAGATTTGAGATTGAACCTCGATGATTCAAATAGTGGTTTCTATAGAGACAGATTCTATTTAAAGAAATAGTGAAGCATTAGCTACATCCTATGGCATAAGGGTTAATGAAAAGGAATGTTAAGAATTAAGTGGGCCCCTGATTTGGCTGCGTTTCTCGGAGGTGCAGGTGGTCAACAATTTATTTGAAACGAGACAGCTGTTACCGAGACGATGCTTTAAGCTGATGGTTAATCATTGTCACGTGTTCGAATAAATATAAATCGTCTACTGGAAACGCAAGCAGGTCAGTTTAAACTGACGTCACATACATGCAACTAGCTTCATACAGGAGGTCTATTCTCATTTGCAGGGCGCTCTTTGAACTTTGAAATAAAATTTTACGATAACTTCGGGGTTTTAATTGTAATTGTATATTTAGCTTAATGAATAATTAACTTACACAGGTAATTAACGTTACTAACTAAATAAATAGTTAACTTACAGCGGGTAGGATATGTTGAGCGTAAGTGTTTCCTCTGACAATTCTCCTATCGTACATGATGTTGCCGTACAATGCTGGTCCATTTGTAGTTCTGAAATCAATTTAAAATGAGCTTTATTTTTTCATTTATATCAATCTACTTCTACAATCTACATATTATTATCTGTTGAGTTTGTATATTGTGATTGTTAAAATTTGACCAATATATTATGTTTGTGTATTCGCTTTTTAAAAGGTGCTAAAATTATGGAAAAATACAGAACATAAAGTGTGCAATTAGCAGGATGATCAAATGTAAAATAAGGCTGTAATTTTAATATGGTAATTAAAAGTTGTACTTACTGATAAGGATCTCTGAATTTCATGGCAGGGGGTCCCTCGTGGGGTTTGGACTGGAACGTGTACGTCCCTCCCTGGTCGGGCATTTTAGCTGCTGTCGCTGCCATACCTATGTAAAATAATTTTAATCTGATGAAAAAAGGGATTGAAATTGCAATTTCTAGAACAATCGATTATCGAAAAGTACACATGCTTCATTGTATTTTATCAATGATTTATACGTAAAACGTGCAGAATTCTGCAAGCGCCGATTAATATATGATTGCATTGAAGCAAACACCAGTGTATCACGTATAAAATAGCTGGTCTCTACGCAACAAAACATGCATGATACGAGTAATGACAAATTTAACAAGCAAAAATTTCAACATTTCACATCGCACAACACAACTTTTCAATATTTATATACAAATACAATAATAAGTGATATCAAAGGTTATCAATAGATAATGAAATAAAGGCATTCTTCTACAATGTTTTCGTAAATGATATGAGAGTTAGGGTATTCCAGGACAAGCAAAATGAAAACCAGTAAAAAATCTGGGAAAGAGGCACGTGCAAAAATTCCGATGAGTAACGAATAAATAATAAATGACACGTTTTCAAAGAAATGACAGCCAGCTACACTACCCTGATAAAAGTAAACATCATGTTAAAAACAGCAAAATCTTAAATCATCAAAAGTAAACATCGACATATTAGCAATAAACCCCAAAAAATTCACACCCCAAAAGCCGAAATTTCCTCCGGATTAACAGTTGGTATCATCTCGCTTCCGCAAATCTTCAAATTAACCATCTCAGTATCTCCGGAGTGGTCAGCTATCAGATCCCGGTAAGTCTGACTGTTGGCCATGAATTTGCGTGCCTTGACGATGGCTTTTGAAAGCAGGCGCAAGTCGTCGCCGGAGTATGCGGGTATTTTGAGGGACTTGTCTTCTTCACTTTGAAGAGAGGCGGGGAGATTGTTGCTGAGGAGTTGGTGGGTTATTATGTTTCCCTCAAACCCAGTCACACACGCGTGGTAACGGCCCTTGGTTTGTTTGCTGAGAGTTTTGAGAAAAGATATAGCTTCTTCGTCAGAGGTATTCAGGGAGATTGTGTGGATTTTCTGTTGCTTTTCAAGCTCAAGGGAGGAGACATGTTTTAAAACTGCTCTACAACTTGTGTCAGGTTTGCCGTCAGTGACGAGGTAGGTTGACTTAGCACTTGTGTCGCTCAGTGCTTCTGTTAGAGCTTCTAGGGTGCAAGTGTTGCCTCCAGCCATCATATTTCCAATGAATTCAGCTGCAGCTAGACATGTATCATAGTCTGGATCAACTGTTGAATCTTTGAATTTAGTAATCTGACTGGCAAACTGGACTATGTTGAATTTGATCTTGTTAGGTTTGATAACTGTCCAAAGAAGGGCACACAACTCTCTTTTTAGCTCATTGATAACAGTTATCATACTCCCACTGGTGTCAATACAGATCACAATTGCTTCCTCTAGAATAGTTCCGAACACACGATGTGGACCGAGTAAAAGCCAACGCCAGCGTCTCAGATATCTCGATATCACGTGGTCTAAATTTTCTTCGTATTGAACCAACTCGTGATGGTGAAGCTCCATGTGCATTTTCTCTCCACGAATCTTGACTTTAGGAAAAACATCGCAATACTTAGCTCCAACACGGTGTCCAGTGACCCTGATGAATTGAGAGGAGTGTTTGTGTGACGACATCAGATGTTCTAGGTGCAGTCCCAGGGGTTTCAGGCCGTATCTCTTTAGCCATTCCTTTGACGAGAGTAATTCTTCTTCCTCTGGTATGTATTTGATCTTCTTCTTTTTGCTACTTTTTGGTCGTTTTTCAGGCGTCGTTTCTTTTTTGGCTGCATTCGCAGATTTACTCCTAGGTTTATCAGCCTTGTGGGCCATAGTCCTCAACTGTAACAGGGGCTTATATTAGGACATCTATGCCATGGCTAAAGAAGACAGTTTTAAGGAACGGTCACAATTGCAACACTCAATAAATGCTGTAAGATATAAGTTGAAACTTGCTAATGGACAATATTTCAAATATGGTTACTTGATTGGCATCACGCTGTATAATGTATATTCGCTCCAACAATTCATAGCAAAAACACCGAGACTTCAAAGGAGCAGCAAAAGTTAAATTATAGTGTCAATCATAATCGTCAATCGAAAAGACAGTAGAGCCGGCTGTAGCACTTATACTTATATTATAATTAAGCAGGGAAACAGTAAACACATGTGGCAGTCAGGTTGCACTACAACTGGGATGATGACTGAGTCTGCCAACTATTTAGCCACATCCTACAGCTACAGTCTAAATGCTAACATCCATAAAAACCGGAGATCCATGATGAATTGAAATATAAGCAGTCCGAACTTTATGTCTCACGATGATGTGAATCAAAAGGAACGAATTTTACCAGATTGAAACCTTTCTGGCTAACACATTATGACTGTCCTGTGATTGAGTGATTTCTGCCGAAACACTTTTGCAAAAAAAAGGTTTTATTGCTATTATCATCAAACAAGTTCAGTCAATAAAACTCGATGCAATTAATATTGAACATGAATGACGAATCGCATGGTAAAACGAATAGCTACAGCCTTGTAGCAAGTCGATCCAAAGCTTACGCCCGGTTAATCTTTATCCAGTGCCGAAAAATGAAGGCTCTTTCGTTTGACGAAATTTGTATCCTGTATTCTGCGCGGCGTACTAATTTAATTGTGGGGTGGAAATTTATTCATAATTTGTAATTATTCAAAATAATTTGTAAAGAGAGACTATTTTAAACGGATCTGTAAATGATAGTCATTTTTGATGCTTCGGACGAAGTATTAGGAAAGATTGAGGGATTAAATTATGCTACTAATAAAGAGAAGCACAATAAATATTTTGTGTGTAATGTTGCTAAAAAACGCTTTATCAACTTATATATATAGTAGTGGAAAGTATGTAAATTAGCTTTCATTTTAACTTGGTTGTTTAGGCCAATAGATTTATAAAAATAATTTTTAAACTTTAGCCTTTATTTTAGGAAATACATTTTTGATGATGTGTCATTACTGTTACCAAAATGTAAATCAGATCGAACGAGAATCTAATTTCTCGTTCGATCTAATTAGTAATTTCTCGTTCGATCTGATTTACATCTTAGTGACGGTTTTACTGGGCCGCGCTCAGCCTGTCATTCCGCCAAATCTATATTCGGTTATGTTAAATGTTAATGAACATATTAGCCTGGGGTCCTCAGGTAATGACGGTTATATTTTGATTTGATTTGATTTGATTTTTTAAAATAATTTAAAAATAGAAAATAATTTAATTATTTTGTTCAAGAGAATGTTATTAATATATAATTATACAAACTCAAAACTTAGATTGATAAATTGAAATAATATATATTATTTCAATTTATCAATCTAAGTTTTGAGTTTGTATAATTAATATTTAATTTTGTAAATTTATAAAAGTCACTAGTTTGAAATTTAATTTAAGTTAAACTCATATAATGGAAAATTAATAAATACACTGAATTGTTAAAATTATAAATATGATTTGTAAATTAACTCAATCACAAGAAGTTTATTTGAAATGATATGAAGCTAGTTGCGCGCGCCAGCGATGATCATAAATGCCCCGCTTACTAGTTTAGCTCTTTCTAGTCCCCTGCTACACGGCATGTAAACAGGGATTGGCTAGTTAGAGGCGGTCCGTGTAGGCCTTACACTGTGCTTTCAGCAATACTCATAAATAATATATAATAACAAATAAGCGCCTACAAATACTTACAAATCGAGCGCTATCGTAGATAAATCGTTAAGATAGACATTGCATCTCCAGCGAAGATCTCCGCATAGCATAGAAGGTGAGTATTAGATTGTCACTTGTGTAACCAGGTACTGAAAGTTCTATTCCCAAAGAAAGCTTTGATAAACGGAAATTTGATCAGAATTCAAAAATAGATTTTGGAAGGTTTTTGAAAAGGAGTTTTTCTGCCGTCCCCTTGACCGACATTTTGCAGTTTTGACTGAAATTTGACCAATCAGTAAGGTCGGTGAGAGTGACACAAGTCGCCATAAAGGTACTGAAAGCAATATATCCAGAGGAAACTTTGATGCAATGACAATTTTGGATATGTACTACTGGTAGTACATAGTCAAATTTCAGCTTTCTGCGACTCAAATTTCACTGTTTTGACTGAATTTTTTTGAATGTTCATCTTACAAGGTCACTGAGGATGGCATAAGACACGATTGTTTCCCAAAGAAAGCTTTGATAAACGGAAAATCATCAAAATTTAAAAAGAGATTTTGGAAGATTTTTTGAAGAGGAGCTTCACTGCCATCCCCTTGACCAAAATTTCGCAGTTTTGACTAAAATTTTGACCATGAGTGACCAATCAGTGAGGTCGGTGAGAGTGACACAAGTCGCCATCAAGGTACTGGAAGCAATATATCCGGAGAAAACTTTGATGCAATGAAAATTTTGAATTTCAGCTTTCCGCGACCCAAATTTCACTGTTTTGACTGAATTTTTCTTGAATGACCATCTTTTTTTCCTGTCATCCCCTTGACCGAAATGTCGCGGTTTTTACTGAAATTTTGACCAGTGACCAATCAGTGAGGTCGGTGAGAGTGACACAAGTTATTATAACCATTGATACAACGACCATAAATTTTCACCAGCTCTCCAATATCCATCTTAAAGTTGCATTTTATAACCTCAAACTACACAATTTAAACTTAGGCATATATAGTGTAGACTTTCTGTCACAACAAGACTGTAACCCATAGTAACAAACATAAACAGAACCCCTAACGTCTGCTAACAATTTTCTTCTGATTCTCATATGAGCCCTGTCTCTAAAAACTCAACTGAACTAGCGTTTCGGTGTGTGCAAAAGCTTTCAGGCACGCACATTCCCTGCCCCGTTAGTTACCTGTCCCTTCAAAATCAAACTAACAGTCAAGGACAAAAAGTCATACACCAAATGAGCATTATATTTTTATAAATTGTTTTACATCTCTTTATTCTGTAAAATGTGCTAAAAATTAAATTTCTTGTTTCATTGAAAATTTCTTGTTTCATTGACAAGTCACCTATCAAGATTCAAGGTACTGGAACCAGAAGCGGAGAAAACTTTGAAGCAATGAAAATTTTGAATATGTCCTACTGGTAGGACATATTCGAATTTCAGCTTTCTGCTTCGTTTTCGACAAAGTGCTCTACTAAAAAATAGGAGCTTTTTATAAGCGTAACAAAGTAAACGATGCTAAACTTTTAGTTGGACAATAACATCGTTTACTTTTTTACGCTTATCTTTTTATATATAACTAGAAAACCCGTGGTCACAGGGAGGAAGCTAATAGTATTTTTTGTTAGGAAGTTTAAATTGCGTCAAAAAATATCCTACACAACCGAAGATACAGCCGATTAAAATGTTGCTTTTTACCTAATTTGCACATTAGGAATCATAAGTAAGATACATATATATATATATACAGGGTGTTTCAAAAATAATGTCCTGATTTATGAACTAATTTTTTTTTGGAAAACAAATAGAATAATATATAACAATATAATTTACAACAATGTAAATGGCAACCAATAATGGGCATTTTGCTCCTTTATAAAAATTGTTATTGTTTTAAAAAATCAGGACATTATTTTTGAAACACCCTGTATATATAATATATCTAACCATCATGGTTTTCATATAATTGGCATTTTTATTGAAAATCTGGAATAATTCCTTATTTTATTTGAAAATAATAGTTATCCATTTAACCTCATCATTGTTTGTCCAAAGGATGGGTATATTGAGACCATTTTACGTGGACTCCCCCTCTACATGGGACGACCAGGACGATGGGCTTGACTTTTCTTCAGATCCAGACCAGCGCCACGCCAAACTGCCACAACCCTTCAGGCTTGTCAACAAGATCCTGGATTGTTTGTTTGAGGATACTTGGGCTTCTATAACTGCCAGACAAGCTTTGAAGGAAAGCCAGGCCAACTTTAGTCAACTACCAAATGTAAGTTTCTTACTCATTTTTATTGGGGTTCAAGAAGTTCACTTATCTGTTGAACTGTAAAACAGCTAACAGAATTGCATAAACATTAAACCTTCAACTTGACATTCTCAGAAAATCAACTCCTTCAATCAGTTCACACATACTTTAATGCAGCTAGAGGGAGGAATCAAAGTGAGCCTACCGTACAAGCTCCACAACGTCTGTTCCACCCCAGACAACGAACTGGTGATCGGAGTTGGAGAGGGTGGTTTACTTGCTTTCTCACACGATGACGTCACCAGACCCATCTTCAAATTCAACATTGACGGGTTTAGTTACTATAGTTACTATAGTCAGGGTTGTGAAAAACGTAAATGGTAAACTCAAAAAACGTGCTTTTTTCTATTTTTTCAAAAAACGAGAAAAAACGTTCGCATAATCTAATCAAGCCGACTCACGTGAAAATTCAAAATGTAGCGGTATGACCAATTAAACTTGCCAGTTGTGTTTAATGTCGAATACTCTTGCTTTCTAAGTTGCTGTACATGTAACACGAATAACTATCAGTAAGCAAGAAATGAGATTATGATTGACCATGCCACCTACTAAGAGAGCAACATCAGATGTTAAATAGAGTTTTGGTGATACTTTCTTCAAATATCAAATATGAAACATCTTAATATGCGCTAATTTATCATTTAAGTTATAGAAATTTCTATATTGTTCTGTGTAGCGCTATAGCATATCAAATTTCAAGCTGGGACTGCTTCAAAATTGAAAAGATTGAATGCGTATCAGAATCATATCACGGCACCAAATAAACACAGAGAGCGGCAGGATTACAGTATCGAAGGTGAAAGTACGGAGCAGAGAGAGAGAGAGAGCCGACATATAGTCATTGCGACTTATACAAGAAGTGACTCGACTGTACGGCTGGGTGTAACTTATGAGTTATTGCTGGATGTATAAGTGCGCGTCTCAGTCCCGCACGTTTGCTTACGGAAATTTACAAAGCTTAGCTGCTACACATATAATCTGACGGTATAATATAGCAGAGTCTGGAATTTTCGCTTAACTAAAATAATAAAGTGAGTAATGAGTCGAGGATATGTGATGAATCGTTTCGATACTTTGCAGTTTTAATGTAAGTGTACAGTGTAACTGAAGACTGCAATCTGCTTATGTGATTGTGGCCCAGGCCTCAGTGTTCGTACTTCGCTGGTTCGTTTACTGGTAGTCGGTGACCGTCAAAACATTGTAAATTTCCGTATAAATCACAACGTTTTTAAAATAAATACGCAAAAACCTGTTAAAAAAACGTAAAAACGCTCCAATTAAAAAAAACGTAAAACACGTATTTCACAACCCTGACTATAGTTACTATAGTTACTACAGGGACGTAGCCAGGATTTTTCTTTGAGGGGGGCTGTCCAATCCAGCTGCGCAGCGAGCAAGCTGTGGCTGGGGGCGCAGCCCTCACCGGGTTCCAGGGGCAGAGCCCCTTGGCGGGGGCTAGGGGGGCGCAGCCCCCCGGAAATTTTGTGCGAAACAGGGTGTTTTAGACGACATTTGGCATTAAAGAAATTTGTAGGACAGCAATAAACTGGGATTGAAAAGAATCAAGTACTCACGTAAATTTGGTAACTTCACAACAGCAATCTGCATTCTCCAATCAGAATTTACGACTTACTCAGGCCTCATCGTCTTAAGATTTTTACATTTCCTACGGTCTAGGGGACACTATTGACTATTTATAGAAGTCTTCTAAAATGTTTGCTTGGATTTTATGACAGATATTTACTAATCCACAGTTCAAATCTTTGACTGACTGCAGTCATAAACACAGCTGCCGCCCCCCTAGCCCCCCCCCCCTGTCTACGTGCCTGAGTTACTATAGTTACTATATATTTAGACATTCGAAAGCTAATATGTAATTCATTATTGGCGATGCTGTTTTAAGACTTTATTACAGTTATAGCTGATCCTTTTCTTGTGTACTTATGGTAATTAACTTATTGATTTGCTTGCTATTGTCAGGGGATACCTGAAGGCTAATGTGACGAGTGGACCTGAGGAGGGTACTTATGTTGTTGCTGCACTTGACGAAAAAGGTTCAGTACAATTTAACATAATTCTTTTGCTTATTTCATAGTTATTTATAAACAATTTAGTTAGTGTCTGACAGTATCCGTGGACCGTGGTGTGAATTTGTGTTTTAATTGCATCAAATTATGATTTTTCTTTCAGGTGTGATTACCTTGTTCGGAATAACAAGAGCTGGATTTATCGAAGTTTCTCAGCTAAGTAATGAGGTGAATATTTCGTTAATAGCTGACTCATGACCGTTTTCTCTTCTTTTTTTATTTGAAAATTCAATTAATTATTATATATATAAATCAAGCGTTACATTTCAGCCATGCAAAATTACAATGACATATTTTGATAAACTAATTGATAAATGGTACTGCAATATAAGTTGCTTAATGTTTGGCCGGAATCCGGATGACAACTAACTAAAAGAGAAAAATAAACTTGATTACATAATAATTAATTCGGCTGAACCAACACATAGCAAGAGCCACATTAACGTTGGGCCGTCTTCAGTTTTATACTCAATTTGTATTTCTGAAATTAAAGAATCTTGCTGGGTTTCAGAGAGTTTTGTAATTCGGCAGCTTACGTTGTTTTACAGGGAGATGAGAAAGTTTTGCACTTTTGGCTGAATGGAAGTAACCTTGCTCTCTCTGTTGGTGGTGAGTTGTTACTTGTTATCCGTTCTAAGTATTTACTTTTCCAAATATATCTGGGAAATGGTGTTATTGTGGCCTATAATAATTTACTTGGTTTTATATACAAACTAATGTAAACCACATGTCTATCTAGTACTGTCAATCACCATTTCCCGGGCATTTGGAGAGTTGGAGCCTGGATTAGGGAAGTGCATTACTAATAACATAAATAGAAATGAGTCGTCAGTCGCATACTCTGGCCTCTGCGTCCCTTGTTGAGAACAATCCATTTTCCTCTGTGGACACAATATCGACCACGCGATGGATCCGCATTGCGCGCTGCTGACAAACGTTATTCATCTGTGTACTTTTTCAGTATTGTGTATAACATAAATGAACAGTAGATCACGACTAAGCCGCGCAGTGTTGATGAAGTCTGGTCAAAAACGCAAATATATACTTTCAGGGGAGAAGAACAGCTGCAGCATATTATTCTATCTACTTCCTATAACAAGCTGGTCAGAACCATTCGAACAGATCAGTTCACAGAGACTCCAAGGCAGTGACGAAGACAATTCCCAATTTACCGCCCCAGAACTAAAAGGACGAGTCAGTAGCCCAAGTTCAGTGTCACCATGCGCCAAGAACAACCTATCTGAAGCAATCACTCCTATAATGAATACTATCACTAACCCTGTAAGACTGGGTCAAGGAACTCATCATATCTTGCCTTCCTCTTATTTCGAGAATCGGAGGGCCATGTTGGAGAAATTACCCAAGTACAAGGACGTGGATTGGTCAACAGTAGATAGCAGGTCGGTGGAACTATTTTAGAGATTCTATTTTGCAAAATTGCATGGTAAATACTGTGGGGTTCATCTTTATATATTTGAAACACTGAGCAGAAAATTTAACAATCGAATGTAATCAAAATAGAAAACCTGAAAATCACCTAAAATTTAATCGAATTTATAAAACAAGATTATACAACAGAATTATAACAAGGTAGTTTTAATCAAACTTGATATACAGATAATAATAAGAGTGCGTGTAAGTGATAGCCGTGCTATACTATCAAAAATTAAAGTCTTAGATATTTTATGTTCAAAATTAATTAAATTCACTTTGATGAGTACAGACAAAGAGGATCTATACAGTCTCCCAGGTAGTCCAGATAGAACCGCTCCTCTTGAAAGCAACCTTCAAACTTGCACTCTGACAGTTTAACAATTCACAGCTGGATCACATTATTGATAACCGATAAATTCGATATTCTTGATCTTTACACTATAACGGCAGTTCTTTGACAGCAATTTATCCAACAATTTGAATATCCTCGTATATCTGCTTATATTAGGCTTCATTGCATCCTTGAATATATCATTAAAATCTCTAACTTGCAGGATAATGTCTGCCCCCCATCTGGAGGCATTCTAACTTTCTTCAGCATTGAGACACTTACAGAACATGAAAAGGTTACCAACTGCTTTGGTTTCTTCAGTCTTACTACCGGCTTGAACTTTCAATTGACGACTCCACACGCCTTCGTTCAACAACAAATCTAAAAATGAGCCCTCACCCGGCGTGGGAAAACCATCTATTCCATAAATCCCGCTCAAGTCGATGCTGATCTCGATCTCCGGGATAAAATGTGTAAAAGGGTTGTCATGAACCTTGACGATGAATATGGCGGAGGTGTTTCTTTGATATTTAGTTGGTATTGTGCAAAAATTTGAGATTCTTCTAGACATTTTCAGTATTTGGTGGTTATTGTGCTACTGAAAACACTGATATCTAACAAAATAGGAGTTAAGGTTTTATATTTCCGTTATGAAAATCTTATCAAATGATTAAAAATAAAGTATTAGTAAACAGTAGAAATTTGTTCGTTTTGTACCGAGATATCTGGTACTTTTTCTTTAAACAGTAAATAGCAGAATTAGATCACATAAATGTCCCTCTGAGCTTTATCAAAGATTTAATTAACAGCAGAAGCAAACCTACAATGCAGTGCATAGTATGCACCACAAACAACAGAAACAGAAAAGTAGTATAGGGAAGGTACAAGAGTCACCAGCAGTGGCTGTTGAAACCTGACTTTGAGCATCAGCTGATCAGTTCATAGTTCGTCGTAATTTATTTCCTATAGAGCGATAGTGTGTAAAAGAGTGTGGTTTTCAGGGGTCAATGTGATTCTCGTCGATTACTATTCTAAGCCTGAGTATTTCATTATACTCCAGCCGCGAAAAGATGATCGCTAAAGGCTCCAAATTACGATAGAATTGTACTGAAAACTCAAATTTAGAGGCCAGTGCTACGATTGGGTTTTCTTTTACAGGTGCACTCGATCGATTATAATCGAGACCATCATAAGAGGCATTATAATTGAAATATATTTCTATCGATTACTCTAATCAGTGATCATTCCTAATTATCAATGGTTAATTTCAGCGTGATCCGGGTAGGACATGTGGTGTTTGTGCAGGATAACAAAGTTATGGTGTGGTGGACAAACCACCACATTGCTACCCTACACTCTCTAGCGACTGGTAATCTGATTTATCTTACTTGAGTGGTAGTTACTGCCATTTTACATTTTAATATTTCTACCTGAGATCTTGGTATGATTGACACTTTTCTGATCAATAGATCTTTAAATACGTTCCCGTGATCTCTCAATCTTTCAAGAAGATCTATTCAATCATATAGACATTTTTTTCAGATGTGGAAACAGTGGTCGATAGTTTCATATATTGTTCAGACATAACATCTGCAGCTTCTAGTTGCAATGGTGATAAGGTCGCTATAGGTCTACAAAAGGGATTGACATCTGTTATTGATATGAAGGTAATAAATTGCTTGGTCTGTGCTTCGTTTGCTCGACAAAAGAATTCTGATAAGGATTCATTTTTCAACCTTCACACTTTACGTCCATAAATCTATAGCCTTAAATTATATCACAGTTCACTTGTGTTTAAAGTGACTTCAATCGTAGACAGTGGTGAATTTTTGAGTATTACAAAAAACGATTAGAATTGAGCATTCGGTATTCTTCATGATATGACCAGAACTAATGACTGTTTATTTACCAGGAATGCCTGACTGTGCAATGTTCTCTGGTGTCCAGATCTCCTGTAAATCACGTGGTCTTTGTCGAGGACAAACTTCTTGCGGCTTGTCAGGTACTTGTTTTATTATCATTCAGCACTTTTAATTTGATTCGAAAACAAAGGAAACAATCTCATTTTGATCGTGATAAAAGTACTACAAAAAATTCCTCACCTCAACCAAATTCCCTTGTCTGTATTCAAAAGTTCGTAACTAATCTGCCAGGAGCGCTAATTTTTCAAGTTGTAGCTGGCCACATACCTACAAACTCGTCCTTTGTCATTGGAGCCGAAAACATACCGAAAGTTCCGGCAGTGGCAGCTAAGTGACCCTCAGAGCTGGTGGCAGCACAGCAGTCAGTCAGAGTTATCACATGGAAACCTTTCTCAAAGGCCGTTCTCATGGTACTCTCAACACAACAGTTTGTCAGAAGGCCTCCCAAAACGATGGTCGTGATATTGTTTTCCACCAGTAGAGTTTCAAGGTTTGAGCCAGGAAACGCGTCCAGTCCCGTCTTACCTATCACCTCAAGATCACCCTCTTCTGGTGTCATTTCATCGCAGATTTTTGAGTTCCATGTGTCAGCTACGAACAGCTTACCATCATTACAACCTTTCAAGATTCCCAGCCCTTTATTAGGATTGTTACTCATATCCTCTTTAAAACTGATGGGCGCATGGATAACCTTCATACCCCTCTCCCTGGCAAAAGCGCAAACTTCAACTGCTTTCTCAAGCATTCCTGTCTCCTCCATAACACCCTTAACTGCATCGTGCAACTTGCCACCCTCCGTTACAAACTCGTTCTGGAATTCTATCATCACGAGTGCTGTTGTTTCTGCCACTGGCACTTCTCCACCGTGCGCCGCCCCCGGGGCAAACGTTCGTCCGGTTGCGGTCATTTGTAATCTGTACAACACAGGGGGTGGAATCAAGAGCAAAATCAAGATAAGCAAGAATATTATCAAGATATTATTATTATAGATATCACGAAAATAAAATCAAGTGGTGAGCTGGTTATGAGTTATCGTGTATTTAGATTTATATCAAACAGTAACGGCGACTATAGTGATATAAATAAGTAGATAAGATGTAGTACATTGTACGAGAACTTTTTAACGTGTGGTTTTTTAACATACAGAAATAGATCACGGAAGTGATGTATATTTTATTTACAAACACTATGTATGTACCTGTGTATAGCGGTGACAATATTTATTTAATATCAACGAAAGAATCGCAATTTTTTTAATTTCTTATCGAAGCAATGCTGCATCAGGCCGGAAATATAATGAGAAAAAAGAAGTTGTCTCAATATCTTATTCAACTTTGTAATATAGGAGCTGAGAACTAATGCCCGAAGAGTTCCAGTCTAGTGTGCGTAATAACGACATATGATATACCCAAACTTCTTTACCGCAGAAAACGCACACCCGTGAGATAATACATAGTAACAAATTTGTTCACTATGAATAGGGACTAGGGCACAAATCAAATTCAAATCGATAGTATACTAATCACCATTCAATTTACATCGACTTTTTTGTAGGCATTCTAAAATTCTAGGTTGTTATCAAATTATTTTAATAAGATATTCGGGAAACATAATAACTGTAATACAATTTGATGATGCAGGGCCAGGTGATAGTGCCAGGTGATAGTGCCAAGTGATAGTGCCAGGTGATAGTGCCAGGTGCCTGATCTATAACAAACCTTCTTCACCAGGACGGAGCCGTAGCGGTCCTGAGCTGCGACGTTGAGAATAGCTGTGCCAGGATTCAGCACATCAGGACAGACAACAAGGCTCTCTCTGTCTCCCAGATCTACCCTCTTCCTCCTTTCTCAAACTTAGCAGGTTTGAGTTTTTATATAATCATTCATTTCTAATCTTCCGCTATATGTATAAAGTGTGTGTAATAAGGCCATGACAATGGTCGATAGGAATCAATTATCAATAATCTATTATTTCCATAACATTTAAGTTTTTAAATCTCATGAAATCCCTCATTCTCCAGTGGTGACATTGTGCCCTGGAAAGGTTGCCGTGATTGATGTAGATAGTTACCGAGCTATCGCAATTGTTCCAGCTTGGACTGACTCTGTTCCAAGTAAGTATTGCGGAGGAATACCCCAAAACCTCCCAACAGTGTTAACGTTCCAGAACTCCCTCTAAATGTGAATGTAAGAATTTAGTTTGTTAAAATTGTGTGACTGAAGGTACTGCAACGGGTCCTTTGATTCCTTGCAATCGTAGTTCATAATTTAGCTACTGATTAAAGTTCGTTATTACCTCAGTTTGTGCGAGTTTAACAAAGAAGTACTTGTGTGTCATATCGTTGGATACAGTGCTTCTGTCCGCAAAAATACGAGCTCTACACAAAAACGCTGACTGTTATCTGCAGAATGTTTCTGACAATGTACCAGAGGTAATACATAATACATAATACATAATAATATATAATACATATTATATAATACATCTGCACTGCACAGTGCGTTTAATATTAATATTAATAGTACAACACTGTTCATTCTCACTGTTGATATTTAATATCATTATCTTCATTATGATATTGTCATTACCCTCATCAGACGGAGTGTAAACCATTCTCGTCAATATCGATAGTCTGGCGTATATGACTGTACTTGCACTTACGTTACCATGTACTGTATAGCGTATACACATTGTCCTTTGTATAGATGAGATTGAGGACTATTTTACCATTTAACCATTTGTTTAGTTGGTTCCTGAAAAAACTTCAACTTAACCGAGACTGATGTGGGTGCTTTTACTTGTCTTTGTTGGCCTCCCTAACCATGCCTATACGAAACAACCCAATATTGTGGTAATAGTTGCAGATGACCTGGGTTACCAAGATGTTGGATTCAGAGGTTCTGACATACTGACTCCAAACATAGACAGATTAGCTGATGAGGGGGTGATCCTGGAGAATCACATTGTTTCCTCCATCTGTTCTCCTTCTCGAGCTTCACTCATGACTGGAAGATACGGTATTCGGACAGGGTTCTGGAAGGGAAACATTAAACCTAACGAGGAGTTCGGACTCGGATTGGATGAGACTTTGCTTCCTGAGATGTTGAAAAGGAACGGATATAAAACTCATGGCGTAGGAAAGTGGCACCTTGGCATGCACACTTGGGAGCATACTCCTCCAAAAAGGGGGTTTGAGACCTGGTTTGGCATGTTCCTAGGAGAGCAGGGATATTTTAGTCATAAAAAGATCGGCAGAACAGATCTCAGAGAAAATTACTACGATTTGGGAAACTTGGTTGACAATGTGCGGAGCGATCTGAAAGGAAAGTACAACACGTACCTGTTTACAGATAAATCAGTTGAACTTGTTCAAAACCACGATCAAACCAAACCTTTCTTTCTCTATCTAGCTTACACTGCTCCACATATCCCTCACGAAGTTCCCGAAGAAGATGCTGATAGATTTGCTTCACACATTCTTGGAAAGAGAAAAAACTATGCTGCCATGGTATCTGTCATGGATGAAGGGGTTGGTAAAATAGCGGATGCTCTGACTAATAATGGGATGATGGAAAACACTATCATAGTGTTTACTTCAGATAATGGAGCATACTATAAGAGTGTTGGCAGTAACTATCCTCTGCGAGGAGGTAAGAGTTCCTTTTTAGAGGGCGGTGTTAGGGGAGTTACTTTCGTTCACAGCCCTCTCCTTCAGAAATCTGGATACACAAATACCAACCTTCACCATGTGACTGATTGGTATGCCACATTCCAGAAGCTGGCTGGAGACAAGCCAGAGGAAGGCAGTAAAGCACAGCTTCCTATCGATGGAGTGGATATCTGGAGCTCTGCGAGTAATGATGAGCCTTGTCGTGATGAAATACTCTATGAATTGAGGGATCCCTCTAAAAGGTTGGACTCCCAAGGTAGCAGGGGTCTAAAAAATGTCAGAAAGTATCCAGTTCAGCTGAAAACAACGAAAATGAAGTTTCGGAAAGGAGACTCCAGAGACGCCCAGGAATTCTTCGTGATACGATGGAAGAACTGGAAGCTCCTCACTGGTTCTGGATTGGAATTCCAAGGCTGGAGTCCGGACCGTGGATTGAAAGAGTACCGAAACTTTGTAAACTACAATAAAGAGCCGCATCCAAGGAGCCTGGTTTCTGGGACGTTTCTGTTCGATCTGTCTACTGATACAAGGGAGGAGCACAATGTAGCAGATTCACATCCCGATATCGTGAACATCTTGCTAGAGAAGAAACAGGGTTATTTAGACAAGGTGAAGATAGTTGAGGGGAGGAATTATTCAAATGCGGGCATGGTTGATGGTGTCTGGAAGCCATGGGTTGAACTTTAGGTTGTGGGAACTAGGGTCGCCGGGATTGGAAGAGAATTTCATTTGATATTTTATAGTTTGAGTCGATGTTAATTATTTGATACTTTTTTTTGCTGATTTGTGAATGAATAAGTACGTTTTGCATGAGATTTATTTGAGATTATTTAACTTTAAGATTGTTGATTGTAATATGTTCCGAAATGATATTTAATTGTAGCCTAATTATTATTTCTTCCGTGCGAACTGCAAAACTGATATAACGAAATGCCGATAAAATTAATTGGGTGACCGAACTCCATAACAAATAATTCACTGGTTTCTGATACATATTATTTTCCTGTTAGCCGTTCAACGTTAAAACTGATAACTGTTGTCTCTCCAGGTATCGGAGTTATTCGTGTACGAAGTGAGCGATAACAGCGAGATAATAGAGCGAGGTTACGTGAACACTGGTGAAAACAAGCAGTCAACTCTCTCTGGACTCTGTCAAAGCTACATTGCTGACAGGTACTGAATATGCGACGTCTTCTTCTTCTAGGAAGAAAATGATTTTATCATTAAAGTCTTGAATATCGAACTTAAATTAATCGATGGCTTTTTGTGTAAAAAGTCTATTTTCCAATTGAAAATGACGGTTGACTCAGTATATCTAGCTCTATGACACAGTCACACCCTAATTAACGATACAATATTACTATGCTGGTGCAGCCCGTGCGTATTTTCCTCTAATTTTCTTGGAATAACATGCTCATTGCTCAAACCTTTTTCTCCAGAGAAAGCAAGAAATGTGCACGACACGAGCGACTCCGTGAGAGGTGGTTCCAGTATACTGAAGAACTGGAGACCTACTAAAGTTAAACTCACACACCTAAAGTAAAGCTCATAAACCACAGCACTGGATTCATAATTTATTACGTTATTATAGGAAGCTGAACTGGAACTATATTATGGGTTGTATATTTAAAATAAATCTCAATCTAAAATGTACATGTTTGATATTAACAATTCTGTATCAACTTTTCAACTTCAACATTATAATAATTTCAACAATGCAGCAGGGGTTAGACCAACACTTGTTTTAGGTTAAACTTTATATATATTATTGAGCTGCTGTCGCGAGTTTTCCCAAATGATAATATTTGTTAACGGTACTGTTTGTATAGTATGTGTATATAAAGCTTTTATTTTTGTACAAACTTTGAAGATGTACAAAAACTCTTTAATCAAGGAGTTTTATTAGGTATAAAACCTTTCGGCAATCGGCAGCGTGTGTCTCTGCTGTTGAATCACTATCAGTTTAGAACATTCTAGATCCAAAGATCTGGGGGGCGCGGGCCACGATAAGTTGTGATAACAGATTACACTCCAGTTCACACGCCTAAGGTATTTGAGTTAATGATACAGAGGCAACAATAACATATAAGTGCGGCAGGTGCGGAATGGGGGTCTGGGACTCTAAGTCTACGGCGTAAGACTCTACGGCGTGAGACTCTAACCCTAACCCTAACCCTAACCCTAACCCTAACCCTAAGTTAACCCTAACCCTAGTCCTAACCCAAACCCTAACAGTAACCCTAACCCGCCGTAGAGTCTCACGCCGTAGAGTCTTACGCCGTAGAGTCCGGACCCCGCAGAATGCAGCATTAATTTTTGCTAATTCAGCTAGGCCCACAGTCCCACACCAGCAAGGCCCAGACTCGCTGCACTATTCGCCAAATTTGCCGCACTTTATAATGCTGCCTCTGTACTTCAAGGTATCTTTTATTGCAGTTGTATGAAATTGAAACTACCTGAAAATGGAAAAGCTGAGTAGCTAATATGTTAATGTAATACAAAATGCTTGTGGGCACTGGGCAACATTTGTGACTGTACAGTGTACAGCGTTACTTGACACCACAATCTAATACATACTTGGTAATTGATATTTCTCATTACATCTGCTGGTTACGTTTCTCTTTACTGATTGCAGTTATCGTGTTTGACTGTTTTTGCATCATCTGCCCTTATATTATAATATGCTCCGTTGCACGTGTGAGATTGGGCGACATCTGTCCGACAGCGACATCTGTCCGAAAGCTGAATTAGGGATTTCGGACAGATGTCGCTGTCGGACAGGAGTCGTTTTTGGCGACATCTGTCCGAATTTCGGATCATATTGTAATTTCGGTTCACATTCGCATTTCACAAGCTCACAGGTAATCTCGTGACGTTCTAAAGCTGATGTGATCCCTTAAGATCTGATCCATCGATACGTGATTAACTAGTTGAGAACAGGATCGTGCTAGCCGTATCCTAACAAGCTGTCGATCACATCACAGGACTCACCCTGTCCACCATGCTGAAACGACCGTCCACGTCAGCAAACAGAACTTGAAAAGAAAGGCTTCTGGTGGAGATCAACCGACGAAATACCTCGTATCTGAAGCAGTCGGTGGATTGGGTTACGAATCTAGAGCAAAGCTTGGCTCCCAGCTGTCATCCCTCAACAGAATGGTACAGAGAAGCAGAAAAGCAGCTAACAGACACCCTTCTAACCCGAGAGATCTGGAAACGCTCTCCATTCCTGCAAACTACATCCTCTCTACCGACAACGAACCAATGATGCTCTCGGACATCAACCACCAATCCTAACTTCGCTCCCCACATGTGGAATCAAATTCAACACGAAGCTGCACAGATGAGGATTCCTCGCTCATCCAACATCGCAGAAGGTTGGCATCACGGATTCCATTCAATGCTGTCCTGCTCGAAGCCCACAATTTGGAAGTTCCTTGATTGCCTTAAAGCAGAACAAGCCCTTACAGACGTGAAGAAAACCAAAAGAGACGGGCGGGAACTACCTGAGCCACGTGCACCCTAATGGATCCGTTATGATCGACAACTTCAGAGAATTGTAGATGATTACGACAACTACAGCAACCCTATGGATTTCCTTAAAGCTATCGGAAATTTGACTATGCTTTAGATTTGATTCTGTGATATTGTATTATATTGAATTAATTTATAACATTTAAATAACATTGAAACTATTGTCCAATTTATCGACATCAAATTAAAATAAACTGTGGTAGTAAACTATGGCTCAGATCATATCTCAAATTGGACATGTTACGTATACAATTTAGCAAGTAACAGTTAAGATCATGTCTCTAATTGGAAATGTGTCGTATTGAAATCAGGTCACAATTTCGGACAGATGTCGTTTTTTTATGGTACCCTGATTCGGACAGATGTCGCTGTCGGACAGATGTCGCTGTCGGACAGGAGTCGTGTTACCCACGTGTGACTTGCGCGCATAAAATATTACTATTAGTCTTCAGAACATTTCAGATTAGAATGCCTAATACTGTTGAAATTGTTTGTCATCATATTGTCCCAATCTCTGTCCCATTTTCAGTTTTTGAAGATGAAACTTCCAGGACAGAAATTTTACAGTTTTGACTGAAATTCTCACCTGCAACCAATTAGTAATTCAACTATAGGTGGCATAGGACACGATTAAGGTGCTGGAAGTTTGATTTCGGTCGGAGGAAGTCCACAGCAAAAAGCTTAACAAAACGAAAAGTTGTATTTTCAAAAGTCTGTCCCATTTTCAAATATGAAATTTTCTGGACACAAATTTGACAGATTGGATAAAATTTTAGCCCAGAAACCAATAAGTCAGTTAATTGATGATGGTATGAAACCAAATTGGGGTACTGGAAGTCAAAATCTCGAATAAAATTGTAAAATCATATTGTCCCAATCTCGGTCCAATTTTCAGTTTTTGAAATTTCTGCCCAGAAACCAATTAGTCAGTTAATTGATGATGGTATGAAACAAAATTGGGGTACTGGAAGTCAAAATCTCGAATAAAATTGTAAAATCATATTGTCCCAATCTCTGTCCCATTTTCAGTTTTTGAAGATGAAATTTCCAGGACAGAAATTTTACAGTTTTGACTGAATTTCTCAATTCTCACCTGCAACTAATTAGTAATTCAACTATAGGTGGCATAGGACACGATTGAGGTGCTGGAAGGTTGATTTCGGTTGGAGGAAGTCCACAACAAAAAGCTTAACAAAACAAAAAGTTGTATTTTCAAAAGTCTGTCCCATTTTCAAATATGAAATTTTCTGAACACAAATTTGACAGATTGGATGAACTTTTTGCCCAGGAACCAATTAGTCAGTTAATTGATGATGGTATGAAACCAAATTGGGGTACTGAACGTCAAAATGTCGAATAAAATTGTAAAATCATATTGTCCCAATTTCTGTCCCATTTTCAGTTTTTGAAGATGAAATTTCCAGGACAGAGATTTTACAGTTTTGACTGAATTTCTCACCTGCAACCAATTAGTAATTCAACTATAGGTGGCATAGGACACGATTGAGGTGCTGGAAGGTTGATTTCGGTTGGAGGAAGTCCACAGCAAAAAGCTTAACAAAACGAAAAGTTGTATTTTCAAAAGTCTGTCCCATTTTCAAATATGAAATTTTCTGAACACAAATTTAACAGATTGGATGAAATTTTTGCCCAGGAACCAATTAGTCAGTTAATTGATGATGGTATGACACCAAATTGGGGTACTGGAAGTCAAAATCGCGAATAAAATTGTAAAATCATATTGTCCCAATCTCGGTCCAATTTTCAGTTTTTGAAATTTCTGCCCAGAAACCAATTAGTCAGTTAATTGATGATGGTATGAAACAAAATTGGGGTACTGGAAGTCAAAATCTCGAATAAAATTGTAAAATCATATTGTCCCAATCTCTGTCCCATTTTCAGTTTTTGAAGATGAAATTTCCAGGACAGAAATTTTACAGTTTTGACTGAATTTCTCAATTCTCACCTGCAACTAATTAGTAATTCAACTATAGGTGGCATAGGACACGATTGAGGTGCTGGAAGGTTGATTTCGGTTGGAGGAAGTCCACAGCAAAAAGCTTAGCCTTAACAAAACAAAAAGTTGTATTTTCAAAAGTCTGTCCCATTTTCAAATATGAAATTTTCTGAACACAAATTTGACAGATTGGATGAACTTTTTGCCCAGGAACCAATTAGTCAGTTAATTGATGATGGTATGAAACCAAATTGGGGTACTGAACGTCAAAATGTCGAATAAAATTGTAAAATCATATTGTCCCAATTTCTGTCCCATTTTCAGTTTTTGAAGATGAAATTTCCAGGACAGAGATTTTACAGTTTTGACTGAATTTCTCACCTGTCCCATTTTCAGTTTTTGAAATTTTTGCCCAGAAACCAATTAGTCAGTTAATTGATGATGGTATGAAACAAAATTGGGGTACTGGAAGTCAAAATCACGAATAAAATTGTAAAATCATATTGTCCCAATCTCTGTCCCATTTTCAGTTTTTGAAATTTTTGCCCAGAAACGAATTAGTCAGTTAATTGATGATGGTATGAAACCAAATTGGGGTACTGGAAGTCAAAATCTCGAATAAAATTGTAAAATTATATTGGGGTACTGGAAGTCAAAATCTCGAATAAAATTGTAAAATCATATTGTCCCAATCTCTGTCCCATTTTCAGTTTTTGAAGATGAAATTTCCTGGATAGAAATTTTACGGTTTTGACTGAATTTCTCACCTGCAACCAATTAGTAATTCAACTATAGGTGGCATAGGACACGATTGAGGTGCTGGAAGTTTGATTTCGGTTGGAGGAAGTCCACAGCAAAAAGCTTAACAAAACGAAAAGTTGTATTTTCAAAGGTCTGTCCCATTTTCAAATATGAAATTTTCTGAACACAAATTTGACAGATTGGATGAAATTTTTGCCCAGAACCAATTAGTCAGTTAATTGATGATGGTATGAAACCAAATTGGGGTACTGGAAGTCAAAATCGCGAATAAAATTGTAAAATCATATTGTCCCAATTTCTGTCCCATTTTCAGTTTTTGAAGATGAAATTTCCAGGACAGAAATTTTACAGTTTTGACTGAATTTCTCACCTGTCCCATTTTCAGTTTTTGAAATTTTTGCCCAGAAACCAATTAGTCAGTTAATTGATGATGGTATGAAACAAAATTGGGGTACTGGAAGTCAAAATCTCGAATAAAATTGTAAAATCATATTGTCCCAATCTCTGTCCCATTTTCAGTTTTTGAAATTTTTGCCCAGAAACGAATTAGTCAGTTAATTGATGATAGTATGAAACCAAATTGGGGTACTGGAAGTCAAAATCTCGAATAAAATTGTAAAATTATATTGGGGTACTGGAAGTCAAAATCTCGAATAAAATTGTAAAATCATATTGTCCCAATCTCTGTCCCATTTTCAGTTTTTGAAGATGAAATTTCCTGGACAGAAATTTTACAGTTTTGACTGAATTTCTCACCTGCAACCAATTAGTAATTCAACTATAGGTGGCATAGGACACGATTGAGGTGCTGGAAGTTTGATTTCGGTTGGAGGAAGTCCACAGCAAAAAGCTTAACAAAACGAAAAGTTGTATTTTCAAAAGTCTGTCCCATTTTCAAATATGAAATTTTCTGAACACAAATTTGACAGATTGGATGAAATTTTTGCCCAGGAACCAATTAGTCAGTTAATTGATGATGGTATGAAACCAAATTGGGGTACTGGAAGTCAAAATCGCGAATAAAATTGTAAAATCATATTGTCCCAATTTCTGTCCCATTTTCAGTTTTTGAAGATGAAATTTCCAGGACAGAAATTTTACAGTTTTGACTGAATTTCTCACCTGCAACCAATTAGTAATTCAACTATAGGTGGCATAGGACACGATTGAGGTGCTGGAAGGTTGATTTCGGTTGGAGGAAGTCCACAGCAAAAAGCTTAACAAAACGAAAAGTTGTATTTTCAAAAGTCTGTCCCATTTTCAAATATGAAATTTTCTGAACACAAATTTGACAGATTGGATGAAATTTTTGCCCAGGAACCAATTAGTCAGTTAATTGATGATGGTATGAAACCAAATTGGGGTACTGGAAGTCAAAATCGCGAATAAAATTGTAAAATCATATTGTCCAATTTCTGTCCCATTTTCAGTTTTTGAAGATGAAATTTCCAGGACAGAAATTTTACAGTTTTGACTGAATTTCTCACCTGCAACCAATTAGTAATTCAACTATAGGTGGCATAGGACACGATTGAGGTGCTGGAAGTTTGATTTCGGTTGGAGGAAGTCCACAGCAAAAAGCTTAACAAAACGAAAAGTTGTATTTTCAAAAGTCTGTCCCATTTTCAAATATGAAATTTTCTGAACACAAATTTGACACATTGGATAGATTTTTTGCCCAGAGACCAATTAGTCAGTTAATTGATGATGGTATGAAACCAAATTGGGGTACTGGAAGTCAAAATCTCGAATAAAATTGTAAAATCATATTGTCCCAATTTCTGTCCCATTTTCAGTTTTTGAAGATGAAATTTCCAGGACAGAAATTTTACAGTTTTGACTGAATTTCTCACCTGCAACCAATTAGTAATTCAACTATAGGTGGCATAGGACACGATTGAGGTGCTGGAAGTTTGATTTCGGTTGGAGGAAGTCCACAGCAAAAAGCTTAACAAAACGAAAAGTTGTATTTTCAAAAGTCTGTCCCATTTTCAAATATGAAATTTTCTGAACACAAATTTGACAGATTGGATGAAATTTTTGCCCAGAAACCAATTAGTCAGTTAATTGATGATGGTATGAAACCAAATTGGGGTACTGGAAGTCAAAATCTCGAATAAAATTGTAAAATCATATTGTCCCAATCTCTGTCCCATTTTCAGTTTTTGAAGATGAAATTTCCAGGACAGAAATTTTACAGTTTTGACTGAATTTCTCACCTGCAACCAATTAGTAATTCAACTATAGGTGGCATAGGACACGATTGAGGTGCTGGAAGGTTGATTTCGGTTGGAGGAAGTCCACAGCAAAAAGCTTAACAAAACGAAAAGTTGTATTTTCAAAAGTCTGTCCCATTTTCAAATATGAAATTTTCTGAACACAAATTTGACAGATTGGATGAAATTTTTGCCCAGAAACCAATTAGTCAGTTAATTGATGATGGTGTGAAACCAAATTGGGGTACTGAACGTCAAAATCTCGAATAAAATTGTAAAATCATGTTGTCCCAATCTCTGTCCCATTTTCAGTTTTTGAAGATAAAATTTCCAGGACAGAAATTTTACAGTTTTGACTGAATTTCTCACCTGCAACCAATTAGTAATTCAACTATAGGTGGCATAAGACACGATTGAGGTGCTGGAAGTTTGATTTCGGTTGGAGGAAGTCCACAGCAAAAAGCTTAACAAAACGAAAAGTTGTATTTTCAAAAGTCTGTCCCATTTTCAAATATGAAATTTTCTGAACACAAATTTGACAGATTGGATAAAATTTTAGCCCAGAAACCAATTAGTCAGTTAATTGATGATGGTATGAAACCAAATTGGGGTACTGGAAGTCAAAATCTCGAATAAATTTGTAAAATCATATTGTCCCAATCTCTGTCCCATTTTCAGTTCTTGAAGATGAAATTTCCAGGACAGAAATTTTACAGTTTTGACTGAATTTCTCACCTGTCCCATTTTCAGTTTTTGAAATTTTTGCCCAGAAACCAATTAGTCAGTTAATTGATGATGGTATGAAACAAAATTGGGGTACTGGAAGTCAAAATCTCGAATAAAATTGTAAAATCATATTGTCCCAATTTCTGTCCCATTTATAGTTTTTGAAGATGAAATTTCCAGGACAGAAATTTTACAGTTTTGACTGAATTTCTCACCTGCAACCAATTAGTAATTCAACTATAGGTGGCATAGGACACGATTGAGGTGATGGAAGGTTGATTTCGGTTGGAGGAAGTCCACAGCAAAAAGCTTAACAAAACGAAAAGTTGTATTTTCAAAAGTCTGTCCCATTTTCAAATATGAAATTTTCTGAACACAAATTTGACAGATTGGATGAAATTTTTGCCCAGAAACCAATTAGTCAGTTAATTGATGATGGTATGAAACCAAATTGGGGTACTGGAAGTCAAAATCGTGAATCAAATTGTAAAATCATATTGTCCCAATCTCTGTCCCATTTTCAGTTTTTGAAGATGAAATTTCCAGGACAGAAATTTTACAGTTTTGACTGAATTTCTCACCTGTCCCATTTTCAGTTTTTGAAATTTTTGCCCAGAAACCAATTAGTCAGTTAATTGATGATGGTATGAAACAAAATTGGGGTACTGGAAGTCAAAATCTCGAATAAAATTGTAAAATCATATTGTCCCAATCTCTGTCCCATTTTCAGTTTTTGAAGATGAAATTTCCAGGACAGAAATTTTACAGTTTTGACTGAATTTCTCACCTGCAACCAATTAGTAATTCAACTATAGGTGGCATAGGACACGATTGAGGTGCTGGAAGGTTGATTTCGGTTGGAGGAAGTCCACAGCAAAAAGCTTAACAAAACGAAAAGTTGTATTTTCAAAAGTCTGTCCCATTTTCAAATATGAAATTTTCTGAACACAAATTTGACAGATTGGATGAAATTTTTGCCCAGAAACCAATTAGTGAGTTAATTGATGATGGTATGAAACCAAATTGGGGTACTGGAAGTCAAAATCCGTGAATCAAATTGTAAAATCATATTGTCCCAATCTCTGTCCCATTTTCAGTTTTTGAAGATGAAATTTCCAGGACAGAAATTTTACAGTTTTGACTGAATTTCTCACCTGCAACCAATTAGTTAATGTGAACTACCCCTTACTATAATCGGATATCCGATCAATTTCTAAATTTTATCAATATCTGAGTGGAATTTGAATTAAAATATTGTCAAATTTTTATTATTCTAGAGGGTAAAAAAGAAAATTTTGATTATGTAATCAACGACCAGACCCCCCCCCCCCCCGCAATCAACCGTAAGCATTTGAAAACCCCTCGGCTGATTACGTAATATGTGAACACTGAACGACCCTTAACCGGCACCGATCCAGATATCTAGTTTTCTTGACTCTCATTGCAAAATGTTCATTTTCTGATACGTCAGTACATAACTGTAATGCATGGCAGATTATCTTTAGACCCTAAACATGGCTATAGACGGGATGTGGCACATTGTCCCGCTATTACTATTAACTCTATGGATATGCCTGGGAGAAAACGTGACGGTGTCAGGCCAAACAACTGCAGCAAACCCTGTTCTTCTCTTTCATGGTCTGATGGACAATCATAAAACTATGGAGTACATGGCATTTAAGATAAAGAAAGATTTCCCTGGCACATACACTCACTCTATCAAGGTACAGTGTACGATGTTTCATAAACGAGTTTACAGTTATTTAGCAGCCAATTCTTTTGCAGCACGATGCGCAAAGCACTGTTAAACTTAAACTGTTTCAGCTTTATCCGGACGACTATAGCTTGATTTCACTAAAAGTTCAATCTGAGAGTCTTGTGAAGTACATAAAGAATCTTCATATCGAGGGACCTATCACTTTTATCGGGTATCTAAATTACTAATTAGAATTCAATATTAGTATAATTATTTAGTACTATTATGTACTAGTATAACTATGAGTATGAATGACTATTGACTACAATACTTTTATTTTGATATGGGCAACACTCTTAAACTTACTAGGAGAGAAATATGAACTACCCACATTTAATCAGCTAATCTGACAACAATATTTATATGTTCTTCTGTTCCTAACGTAAGTCCCGTTAGGCACAGTATGGGAGCGTTGTCCGGTAGAAATGTGATACAGAACTGGGATGATCACAACATTACAACGTTCATCTCATTAGCAGGACCTCATATGGGGGTCAGCAAAGGTTCGGCTGATGGATTACTCAATTTCCTCCGGACTTTTTGATGGGATTTTGTCCCAGAATTTGAAAAAGAATACTCAAGAAATATAAATTTTTTCTATCGAATAGTCAGTAGTCACCGGCTTCCGCCTACCTTACGTTAACAATGAAACGAATCTTTAATAATTTCAGTACCACCGATTAATGGCATAGCTGGCGGTTACGAGAATTTTATCAACGACACTTTAGCTTAGTTAGTTCTCCATTCTCGATAACTTATTACTATTAGAGTTATGTATAATCTTAGTTTTGATCTTGAAATTTTAGTTTTAGTTAATACCTATCACCTGTAATTATTTCGGAACATTCAGATTAACGGTCCCGTCTCATTTTAACCAACATTTTCAGCATGTGCTATAACGCGGGGGGACAAGAGTTTTCTCTATGTAATTTTTGGAATGGTGGGTACATTTTTACAGCCTAGTTATACATAATTCTTCTTTCTTTAAAGAGGACCTAGCGCCTCCATTTTCGGTCTAGTTATTTTAGCTTCCCACTGGGGGGCCCTTCCCACTAACAGAGTAATAAATTCTGTCTCTCAAAACCAGACCCAACCAAACAAGCGATGTACAAGAAACGAAACAAGTTTTTATCGTCATCGTTGTGTCAAACTCAGAGGAAGAAATGCCCAGGTAAACTACACGTCAGTTTACAACACAAATATTCTCCTTGTGAAATAGTTTGACGTATATTTTCTGCACAGATATGATTTACTACTAGTTCCCCCAATTTGCCAGAATTAAAAGTATCTAAAATTTCCAGGACAATCAGACAACCTAAAAAAGCTTCAAAAGATGGTCTTAATAGGAGGTCCTCAGGATGGCACGGTGTTCCCTTTCGAATCGACGTTAGTGTGGACATATTTCTGTTTTTATATCAACTACTGTAGCGTAATTTCTTTCTAATATATAATAGCAATTCTCATGACGAATCGAATCAATACTCGAAGTGAAATATCTTTAAAATTCGGTTTGACTAAAAATGAAATCATTTCCAGTTTATTTGGGTATTACGATAACGAGTGGAACATAGTTCCCAGAAGGGATCAGTCGTTCTACAAAGATTTGGGATTGAAAAAGATGGACAAGAACAATCGCATAGTAGAATGCATCAAGGTTAATCTTAGCTTTTTGCCATTTCCAGTTTTAAAGTAAAAGTCTTGATGTTTGCATTGAGGAACAGGAGAAGTAAAATAACCTTGTCATTTATCAATTTCACAGAACTTGGCTAAAATTCAAGTCGTTTCAGACCACAGGATATCACAACTTGGTGTCTTATCTAGTTCAGATAACATAATTACATTTGCAGGAAAGTGTAGAACACGTACAGTTCGTATTTAACGACGACGTTTACAACGATTGTGTGAGGCCACACATTGTCTGAAAAAATAAGAAGACACTGGGATGAATCGTCAAAATATTGCATAAAACATCGAGTATAAAATACTATACACATCGAGTATAATTATATGTTTGCACTCACATTAACAAAGACATGCCGCATATTTTTGATACTGAATACATTCAACACTGTTTAAATGTAATAAAATAAAGTTTTTACGTGTCATTGTAAAATAACAAATGTCTTCTTTTTTAATAAGTCTTAGAAAATTTGAAATCAGAATTGAATCAAAAGGGGTAGTCAGTCAAGTCACAAGTGAGCATTAAAAACAATGAATAAAAGCCGTAAGTCAATCCGGAGTAAAATGAATAAGCTTCAGTCAAAGGAAGACGAAATGACATAAAACTAAAAACATTCAATACCTATATATGTATGTCAAGCAATGTTTGTCAAAATTGAATAAAACCGTATTCAAATTTTAAAACGATAATTGTAAATTTGAGATGGGTCATCAACGAGAGTTCATGATCAACGAGGGAAAATAAAAGTTTGCTCGCACAGCAACCACAAACTATTATTCATCTTTGCCAGCAGCGGCTTCACCTCTTCCAGCGGGAGTTTCGCCCTCTTTCTGCTTCTCAACGATGAATTGTGCCACTTTTACCGGGTCTTTTTCCCACATTTTAACAGTGTCTGTGAAACCTCGTTTGGTCTTTCCGAAACTGTTTGGCCCCGATGAGGTCGGCGTGTCCCTAGAGTATTTCATGATGTTATGAGCGTATTACAAATTATGCAACTGACCTGCATAATCAATTATGGATCTGTCGAATTGGCATATCCTGGTGCGATGAGTAGCTAATTTTAATAGATAAGATAACTCCATGATGTCTGACTATCTTAGATATCTCCATGATCTGTCATCTGTCAACATTAAATGGTATAATCGAACAGTAGATCATAGATGGCATAATCAAATTATCTAAATTAAATTGAAATAAATATAATTTTGATTATGCGCGGCTTTTTTATATTAACAGTTTTGTCCTGAATCATATAATTGGCTTTGCGCCTTCCGCATAATTACTGTACGTATTTTGCCATCCGCTTAAGCCGCGCCATATTATTGATATGTCCGCGTGTATAATTTGCCTAAATATACTGGATCATAAACTTAATTTATAAAGGAGCACCCTTTTAAAAAGGCCACTTCGACAATTATTCCCACATTTCCATCTTGCAGTCGGATGGGAGGGAGGGAATGGAGGGGTGAGGAGGGAGGGAGGGAGTGGGAGAAAGGGAGGCAGGGAGGTCGAGGGATGGATGTGATAGTGTGATTTAGAGAAAAAGCTTTGGTTTGTACAATTGTCATTATGTAACACGGGAATAAAAGATCGAGAGAGGGAAGGAGGGCAAAGGAGATGTGGGGGTGGGGGGGGGGGGTGGGGTAAGAAGATATACTTAAAGTGGGAAGACCAAGGACATGTTGAACATTTCAATGGCGTTAAAACATATTATGCTTTACTGTATTGAAGGACAAGAAAAGAAAAACAAAAGATAACGGGCACCTAAAATAAGGTTAAAATTAATTAATTAACTAATTTAATCTTACTCACTTGCCAACGTTCCTCATCCTCATCTTAGCATGTAGTGGAATTTCTTCCTCTTCCTGAATCCATGTCAACGTTAGAGTTACCATGGCAACGATATAATGAGATACACACATGCCTCACACTGGAGATATTAGAAAATATCAACTTCAAATTTTATTTTTAAGTAAACTGGAGAAAAATTATTTCAAATTTGTTTTCGTGTTTCGATAACAAAGCTATCTCGTTGCTTTCGATACCGTCGTGCAATTAATCAAATTTATAAATAAGTATGGAGCCAAAAAATTGATAAACCCCTACATTTTAAAAGTTGACGATTAAGTTTAAACATGTAGGTTATGATCGATTACTTACGTCCGAACTGTCACAATTGAAAACAGCAGCCACCGTCATTTTCTTTTTTGCAGGCTTAATCTCTACTTTAGCGGGCTTAATCTCTACTTTAGCAGGCTTAATCTCTACTTTTGAGGGAGAGCTTTTAGCCTGAGAAATTACTGTTCATTAGAATTTTTGTCGCTCTAAAACATGCAGGACACTTCTTTGATCAGACAGCTTTACGGTTCAAGTCAGGACTAGTGATCGCATGTGCACAGTGATCGCACGTGCACATGTGCATCCCGTAAGAGAAGTCTCCCAATTACCTCAAACTTTGGGTATTTCTGTGTCGGGACATGATATACGTTTTCCTGCTTGCGTTCGTCGTCGTGTTTTGGTTTGTGCGAGCTGCTTGTGCTGTTTGGCCGAACGTACGGACTGAATCTGCTACCGCTAGAGCTCCCGTTGGAGGAGGACTGAACTTTTATGTGGTCTGTCTCCTTGGCGGTAAAATTTCTCCGATGTTTATAATCTGTGATGTTGAGAAAAACATGTTAAATATCAACATTTAACATAGATGTTAGATATTAAAGAAAACTGTCATCAGGTGACTGATATTAAAATAATTTAGAGGTATTAAAATGTATAATTCACAGATAGCAGGTAATCCAACAGTACTTGTGATAGAATCTGCAGAAGATGTAATAATGCTAAGGTTAAATACAAGTTTTAACTGTTATAAAGCCAATGCATACCTCTGTTGTGATGTGACGAACTCTCCAAGCGATCAGACATGGCCTGAACAGTGAACAGTGAACAATTGTTAAACGTCAACACTTAAACTGAGCACTTATGTAGCTTGCAGGCAGTTCATGTTGTTAAACCACTAATGTCATGGTACAGCCAGAGACGGCCTAATTCTGCAGAAACTCGCATATTGCTACCAATTAACCGAACTAGTTTAACTATGAAGGCTCCAGATAACTTGCATAGCACAATGGAGGAAATTTAGAAGATAAAAATAAACCGCAATGTTAATTACATACTTTGGAATACCTGGGTCACAATTAGTTGCAATAATTTACAATATGATTATATGATATACCTAACTAACACAAAAAGAAGAAATCTGACAGTACAATTTGTTTGATATTGAAATACCTTTCAAGAAATTTAGAAGATAAAATAAACTGCGCTGTTAATAAAATACTTCAGAATACCTATTAAACAATTAGTTGCAATAAATTACCCCTCCATCAGAACACTTTACAACCTAACACAGCAAGCAAAAATATGTCTGTACAAAAGGTTTGATCTGAGCCGCAGATCATGAGATCACGGGTGCTTAATTGATTTGCACACTGTGAAGGGTGAAAACGATAGGTTTGCCTACCACTAACAATACAAATGTATACTGTACGTGATAAAATCTTTTTACCTAATAAAAATATGGATTGTCGACGGATTGTATATATTTCATACAAAATCTGATAAAAACCCAATAAAAATAGGGATTGTTGACAGAGCTATGATCTATAATTGTCAAAGCATCTACTTGAACATAATCTTACAATGGTATTGTGAGTTTGATACCGTGTGTCCATCCCACAAAGTATTGGTAATGAGGTTCCTTTTACCATCCTGGCTAGCAAGAACTTCTCTGCACAAAACAGTTTGGTTCGCACTGTGTTCCTCTATTGTACTGTCAATTCTGACCATTTGAGTCGTGTCTTTTAACTGCAACTCTAACGCTTCAAAATAAAATGAATCTGCGGGATTGATGCCAATAGTTCCATCTTTCAGCTTAATAACGATCGGCATACATTGTTGTGTCTGATAATCATGATAACGTCTCTTTGAAAAATCAACTAGCTGATCATATGTGAGATGAGGGGAGAATTTAGCAACATCAGCAACAGTAACTGGAGCCAGATTTACAGAGCTGTCATTTAAAAGTTCAGCTGGTGAAAGCCAGTGTAACGACTCAATCTCTCCTTCGCAGGGCTTTAGATTGAATTCCTGTAACCCCACAAAAATCAAGAAAAATGTTGTGTTAAATCTTCTCGGGAGCTGTAAAGGTGTTTGCCAAACACTCCAAGGAATAAGAGTGGCAATATCAATATCAAGTGGGAATTCAGTTTCCTCTTTTAGCTCTCTCAATGCTGTTTTCCTGTAAACATTTTCAATCTCAGAGGGCGGTGATGCAGAGAGCTTATCAATATTTGTAATTTGACGGAAATTGGCAACCCTTTCCGACTCCTCCTTGTCAATTACACCACCAGGAAACGTTAAAGCCCCAGGCCAAGCTTTCAGTTTCTGATGCCGTTTAACAAATAACAAGCGATAATCAAAAACATTCTGTGAGCAATAACTTTTATCAGCTATCTTCTGAACCACAATACAAGAACCACTTTCCCTTACTCCAACAGAAGCTGCTTTAAGAAGACTCCGAATATTTCTAACCATATCTCATCTGTTTCTACAGCACTTCTAATGGTTACTTTCAAGTTAGGCACTATTTAAAAGAAAATCAAATTGTTGGTCTATTTAAAAAAATGTATTATATGCTTTGAACTACAGAACATGCATTATAATTCAGCTCATAGTATCTGCTAATTGAAATAATGGAAAGCAATCTGGGAAATTGTGAATCGTTTTTGGATACGATTTTTAAATGTTCTAATAAACCATATGAGCTAAAAATACCTATCTATAAACTATATAAGCTCCAAAAGAGCTTTAAAGTTTAAATCAACTGCACAGCATTGTAGTCAAGAAAAACCAATCATCCTATGCAGACTTTCCAAATTCCACAACAGTTCTTGGCACTTTCCTGACATTATCTTAGTCTTACATCTTCCTCACAATACACATTCAGATGACTTATAATAGCTTCCATGGTCACTGCCTTTATAAATACTTAACCAATGGTTTATGAGAAAATTGCTCTAGCATGTACATTGTACAATATTGTTATTCCTTCATGTGACAAGTCAATAACACACTAAATGAACTAGATGAGGAGACTACATACCTCTAATCCCTTTCATTACTATTTGGCTCTACTGCAAAGAACACTGACATCATGTTATACTCATGGGGAGTTGCAAGTTGCAATCAGTTTATTCTAACAGGTTAGCAGAAACTCATGGATTAGACAGATCGATGCTAATGCAAGCGTGCTTTATATAATGTAAAACATCAATTTAAATTGATTTATTACTCTTCAAACATAAGATAGCATGCTGCTAATTCCATGCTGGATACGTAGTACTTACTTACCCAAATTTTTCCACTAACAAAATTTGTCCACTAAAAGCATTAATAACATCTTAACCTCAAAAAACCTGCATAACTATCATACGATATTGGTAACCTTCAAAATTCTTAAATTTCAACAACCTCTGTCACTCCATGAGCATCGAGCAGTTTAACAAATCAAGTAGAGAGGAAAATACTCTAACAACATCTCATGCATCCTCAGACTTTATATCAAGATCAACCAGGCTATTGAACACTGACACTCCAACTTAAACTGTCAGACTACTCTCAAAAAACTAGCCAAGCAAAAGTGAGTCTTAAAAACATCATACTCACTATACAGAATAAAATCGATGATATTCCATGGGCTCAAGATGATTTTGACATACTAAACAGTGCAGTATAGCGTTTATAAATAAACTGCACTGTTAATAAAATATTTCAGAATATCTATTAAACAATTAGTTGCAATATATTACCCCTCCATCAGAACATTTTACAATCTAACACAGCAAGCAAAAATATGTCTGTACAAAAGGTTTGATCTGAGCCGCAGATCACAGGTGCTTAATTGATTTGCACACTGTGAAGGGTAAAAAACGATAGGTTTGCCTACCACTAACAATACAAATATAATGTATACTGTACGTGACAAAATCTCTTTACCTAATAAAAATATGGATTGTTGACGGAATGTATACTTCACACAAAATCTGATAAAACCTAATAAAAATTGGGATTGTTGACAGAGCTATGATCCATAATTGTCAAAGCATCTACTTGAACATAATCTTACAATGGTATTGTGAGTTTGATACCGTGTGTCCACCCCACAAAGTATTGGTAATGAGGTTCCTTTTACCATCCTGGCTAGCAAGAACTTCTCTGCACAAAACAGTTTGGTTTGCACTGTGTTCCTCTATTGTACTGTCAATTCTGACCATTTGAGTTGTGTCTTTTAACTGCAACTCTAACGCTTCAAAATAAAATGAATCTGCGGGATTGATCCCAATGGCTCCATCTTTCAGCTTAATAACGATCAGCATACATTGTTGTGTCTGATAATCATGATAACGTCTCTTTGAAAAATCAACTAGCTGATCATATGTGAGATGAGGGGAGAATTTAGAAACATCAGCAACAGTAACTCTGAGAATATTTACAGAGCTGTCATTTAAAAGTTCAGCTGGTGAAAGCCAGTGTAACGACTCAATCTCTCCTTCGCAGGGCTTTAGATTGAATTCCTGTAACCCCACAAAAATCAAGAAAAATGTTGTGTTAAATCTTCTCGGGAGCTGTAAAGGTGTTTGCCAAACACTCCAAGGAATAAGAGTGGCAATATCAATATCAAGTGGGAATTCAGTTTCCTCTTTTAGCTCTCTCAATGCTGTTTTCCTGTAAACATTTTCAATCTCAGAGGGCGGTGATGCAGAGAGCTTATCAATATTTGTAATTTGACGGAAATTGGCAACCTTTTCTGACTCCTCCTTGTCAATTACACCACCAGGAAACGTTAAAGCCCCAGGCCAAGCTTTCAGTTTTTGATGCCGTTTAACAAATAACAAGCGATAATCAAAAACATTCTGTGAGCAATTACTTTTATCAGCTATTTTCTGAACCACAATACAAGAACCACTTTCCCTTACTCCAACAGAAGCTGCTTTAAGAAGGCTCAGAATATTTCTAACCATATCTCATCTGTTTCTACAGTAATTTTAAAGGTTACTTTCAAGTTAGGCACTATTTAAAAGAAAATCAAATTGTTGGTCTATTTAAAAAAATGTATTATATGCTTTGAACTACAGAACATACATTAGAATTCAGCTCATAGAAATAATTCTCATGAAATAACGGAAAGCAATCTTGGAAACTGTGAATTGTTTTTTGGATACGATTTTTAAATGTTCTAGTACACCATATAATGAGCTAAAAATACCTTTCTATAAACTAAATAAGCTCCAAAAGAGCTTTAAATTAACTGCACAGCATTGTAGTCAAGAAAAACCAATCATGCAGACTTTCCAAATTCCACAACAGTTCATGGCACTTTCCTGACATTAGTGTGATGTGTTTGCGGGGAAAGCTTAAACGTGCACTATTAAATAATCAACACAGCCACGCCCCGCTTGATTGGACAATCAAAGATTTTGACTGCAACAATATTGTCTTCGAAAGATCACTACTTGCTGGTCACACACATGTCAGCGAAATTCCCCTAGTCTAGTGTTTTCCAAGTCTTGTTCTGTGAGAAAAGTATGTGTGAGAAAGTCTTTAATAAAATAAAATGAATGTATATTTTTGAATTTTTAACATTTAATTTGATAATGCAGTATAAAGAAATTTTTAATTAGCACTGTATAGTTTAAGATATTTATATTAGCTTATTATAACCATTGATACAACGAACATAATTTTTCAACAGCTCTCCAATATCCATCTTAAAGTTGCATCTTATATCCTCAAGCTACACAATTTAAACTTAGGCATATATATAGTGTAGACTTTCTGTCACAACAAGACTGTAACCCATAGTAACAAACACAAACAGAACCCCTAACGTCTGCTAACAATTTTCTTCTGATCCTCATATGAGCCCTGTCTCTAAAAACTCAACTGAACTAGCGTTTTGGTGTGTGCAAAAGCTTTCAGGCACGCACATTCCCTGCCCCGTTAGTTGCCTGTCCATTCAAAATCAAACTAACAGTCAAGGACAAAAAGTCATACACCAAATGAGCATTATATTTTTATAAATTGTTTTACATCTCTTTACTCTGTAAAATGTGCTAAAAATTAAATCTCTTGTTTCATTGAAATTTCTTGTTTCATTGATTATCTTAGTCTTACACCTTCATCACAATACACATACTGACTTATAATAGGTTCCATGATAACTGCCTTTATAAATACTTAACGAATGGTTTATGAGAAAATTGCTCCAGCATGTACATTGTACGATATAGATATTACGTCATGTAACAAGTCACTAAATGAACTAGATGAGGAGACTACATACCTCATAACTATTTGGCTCTACTGCACCTTCAAAATTCTTAAATTTCAACAACCTCTGTCACTACATGAGCATCAAGCAGTTTAACAAGTCAAGTAGAGAGGAAAATACTCTAACTAAAATACTCATGGGCTCAAGATGATTTTGACATACTAAGCAGCGCAGTATAGCGCCCCCTCCGCTGAAAAAATCATCCCCTGTTGCATGTTGGTGCCCTCCCCCTCTTAAAGTAGAAACGTAAAGTTTGACAAATTAGGTGATTTCTATGAGAGATGTTGTTACGCCACGTGGGACTTTCCCCTTTTCACCCCCACATCAATTCCTCATGGTTAACTTCAGTTTCCTCCATCAGGGATGCCATACCTCAGTACAGAGACAGGCAAGGCATTGTCATGCTATCCTTTTGAGGGCCACACAAGTTTAACCTGTCTTGATATAATATAATAATAGGTATAGTGTAGCACTATTCTTCTCTCTGCTGTGGACCTGAGCAGACCTGCTGCTGGTCTGCAGTGGACTACACACTGTAGACTACCAGTACCTGCCTCCGGTGGATTACCTGCTTCAGACTACCTGGTGTGGACTACCTGCAGCAGACTTGTATAAAATACACAAGCAAACGGTTTCAAAACAATGCCAAAAGTCTTTTAGTAAATTGAATTTCAATGGGTAATTTGTATCACGTCATGACCCCCACGGTCGTTTCACTATTGTTCTTACGATACATGGGAGCCGCGCACTCGTCATACAACGTATAACAATGGCTAAGTGGACCTGGGAACCCCATGCTATTATATTTATGTTCATAATCATATAGTACATAGCTGAGACTATATTTAGCGGAATGACAGGCTGAGCGCCGCCCAGTAATAAGTACGATTGCAATTAAAATTATTGTTGTAATATAAATATAATACAAATAAAAGCTCGGCGCGGCACAGTAGCGCATTTTGCCGATTTAGTGCTGTGATAAGCTTCATTGAGTGCGCGGCGCGGCAAAGTAACGCATAGCGCTACAATATTTACCTAACACCTCCAATCTTTATTGCGGACACCGTACACTGCATGCGCAAGGGCTTTGGTTACAGGTCCAAGGTCTGAGCAATAAAAATAGTAGCAGAATATTAATATGTAATAGAAAAATGTAATAACATAATAATAGCAGAGTTTAATTTGTTTCAAGAGTGACGACATATTTAAAAATAAAAGAATGGTATTTATAATTTTATTTGTTTGCTTTCAGCTTTGCCCACTGTGAGCTCTTCAGTCGTTACGTCACATGCGCGTCTACAAAAACATTCTCGCGCGATACAATTACGTCAAGCTACTTCCTAGGTAGGTTTGTCACAATTTCGGCCGCGCTATATACAGTTACACGTACAAACACGTACAAACTGCGCGTCGAATTCAGAATTATCATAATGTAATATTATTTTTTGTATTACAAATTAATTATTAAATATTATACATGACATTAGTCCTGGGGAGCCCTGGCAAATACATATATGTTCATGTGCATGATCAAGTTAATAGAGATTAGGCGGAATGACAGGCTGCAGGCTGAGCACCGCCCAGTAAATACATGAAAATGTTAATTGCTTTTTAATTTATAGATCGACAGTTCACTTTCGACTAATATACTATATTAAATCGATTCGTTATATAATACATTATATAAACTTAAAACAGTGAAATATTGCAAGTGCAGGTGATTTTTGTCTTCAAACTAAACTTTTACATTGTATGTTATAGTGTATTTACTAAAAGCGTAAACTTGCGGATGAAAATTGTATCCCTTAATAACAAATAAACCCCTATTACATTATACATCAAAGGAATAATATTATTGAGTAGAGTCACACTATAAAAAGTTTTAGGCAAATGGCCACTTTTAGCAAAAGTTATATGTTATAGCATATAGCCTGTCAAAGTCCATAAAATGATCACTTCAGAAAACGGGGCGGAGAACCGTGTTTTTTAAATTTTTGACAAATATTTTTGACAGCATATTGTTTATTACATTTTTTTACATAAGATTAGTCCTATGTCGTAATTTTTGTGTTTAATATTTGAATCTAAAATAATTATTATTTGGATTTTAAAGTACACGCTACGCCGCGCACTTTACTTGGAAGTGAAAAGATTTAATTCGATTTTTTTGGAAGCGCGTATATTTTTACGCAATTCAACACGTGCACCGTCTAATCTCGTTCTGCTGTTGCTCGCTTGTTTCCTTATAGCATCCCTTGTCACACGCTTTAATTTGTCCGAAAGTAACTGTGCGATTATGTTATTAAGTAATCGCAAGAGGGTATTTAGTGCTACTGAATTAGTGGAACTGTTAGTGGAACTGTGTACTAATCTTGTAGATTGATTTTTCTAATTATAGTATAGCTTCAAGCAGTGAACCAGAATTTTCGAGATTAAATTAAGTAAAACAAATATCATTATTACTAGCTGAACCAGAATTTCCCTTGGGATGAAATGCTTTCCTGACGAACGTTCTTGTATGATAACAACCGATTATATGGGCTGAAAGTGGAATATGTGAGTACTTTTTTTTCAGCGGACACATTCCCGTATCGAGCTGCCTCGGAGCGTGGTTTTTCTGCTATGGTTCATCGCAAATTTGATCGCCGAGTTTCTCTCCTGTATCCCCCCTGAGATTATAAATCAAGACATTCTTGTTGCGATATTATTCATCTACTACATTCCGAACTATTTTCTACTAGTTCTTAGCCGTGAAAGTGGAGGCAGAGCAAAGCTGGTAGACTGTTTTGACACAGCAGCACCGTAACACTGGGTAACTCTTAACGGCGGATTTAACAGTTTTCTGGACTGAATCTAGCTCTAAAGTTGTTATGTCCAATAGTTCTCCTTGCAACTGAATTACTGATTTCTGAGTATTCATTTCCTCTCTAACTTTATTCGCTGATAGAAAAGTACTATGACCCCACCACAATATCAGCCTTGTTGCCTTCCAGGATGTCCCGAGTACCAAGGTGATATCTACAAATAAATTGCCGTCTCTGATATAGTGATACTTTGTTGGCTGAGCAGTAATCATTTCCTTCATTTTTACAACAATTTTCTGGTGAGCTGCTTTCTCCTCCCTATTTCTGTCAGGTGTGATGTACCATTTGTGGTACGCTGCATAATTAGATTTCTTCGGATTTCTTGCTCGAGCAAGAACCATTTTGACTGATTCCGTGCAAGCCAATGTCACTTTTATCGGTCTCGGTTTACCACTATCTGCAGGTTTTTTAATCCCGATCAAACTTGCTGCCACCACTTTAGGATCACACCCCGATGATTCCCAAATTTTGGTAATCACTTCTTTTGCCATTATTATATGTGGATCACAATTTTCCACAGAGAAGTCCATTGTACAAAGTCCAAAAGAATGCTTGCAACAGTGTCTCCCAGTCGGTTGTGTCTGCTGTGGTGGTGGTGATGGGCTAGGCGTCTAAGGGTCCCTCAAGCAAGGTCTTCTTAGCAAACGCCAGGATTTCTATCGGGTTGGTGGTTAGTATGTCCAAGTTTAAGTCAGATTTTCCGAAGATTTCTTCTCTCGTCCTGATCGTTGCAGGGCACCGAATCCAGTGTGGTACTGCAACTGTTTCTTCTTCTTCTCCGCAACGGGGACAAGTTGCACTCTTTGTAGAGTCGATCCTATTTTTGTAGTGGGACAGGTGAAGGC